ATTGACAAATTGTAAGAGTAAATGACAAGTAATTCCAAGAGCATGCAATCTCTTTATGTAATAGGTCAGACGGAAAACCTTCTTCGATAACGATAAAACGTGGGAAGACCAAGACAGATCAGAGGAAAAGGTGACACCAAGATAATTGACCTTCGACACTGAGTTTATCAAAGAGTCTCCGATGGTACAAGCACTATGGGATCTCAAAATAGTGTTTATATTCCGTTTATGTCTCATGCTAAAGTTAACAGCTTGACATTTAGACGGATTAAGTATGAGACCATTACCAACAGACCAACAATCAATACGAGACAAAAACTCATTCATTTCTATGGGATGTAAAGAGGAAGATATAGGCATACATACAGTGAGGTCATCCGCATACTTCACAAAAGTGTTTTCTGTGGAAGATGGCAGATCATGCAGAAAAAAAGAGAATAGAAGAGGTGAAAGAACAGCTCCTTGTGGTACACCTTCATGAGACAGTAGAGACTCTGAACTCTTTCCTCCAAACACAGTGTATTGTTCCCTTCCAGAGAGGTAGGAACATAGCCAGTTGGTTATCCAGCTGTCAGTGTTGATGCTGATTAACTTGTTAAGTAATCGTTGTCTTGGTATAGAGTCAAAAGCTGAAGTATAGTCCAGAAAAGTACATCGAACATACTTCTTACCCTTTTCTAAGTTGAACACTATGTCGTGATGCAGAACTGCAACAGCATCTAAAGTGCTTCTTTTGCGCCTGTATGCAAACTGGTATGGGTCAGTATGCTCTTCTATCGCAGGCTGAAGTGGAAGAATTAATAATTTTTCCATGGTTTTGAGGAAGGGTGAAGTTATTGCAATAGGTCTAAATTTTACATTCTTATCACCAAATGCTTTCTTGGGTACAGGAATTATCTTCATCTTTCTCCACACTTTCGGTATGAGATTAGATGAGAAGGATCTGTTAAATATAATTGTGAACGGATGACACAGAACGTCAGCACATTTTTTAAAAAGGATGTTTGGGATACCATCAGGTCCCAAACATCGAGATGAATTAAGCGACTGGAGACATCCTCGTACATCAGTTTCAGTGAAAGTAGGAACACAGCTAGTTTTTAAACCCGTGGATAGAGGGAGCATCACATCAGATGACTGACGTACAAAAGACTTATTTAAGTCACTAACATTCAGCTGGTTATCAATTCTAAACTTTCTGTCACCTGTAAGTTCTTTAAAGAATTTCCACATACTTGGAGAGTTTTTGCAAGATAAGAGCTTTTGAGTAAACATACAGTTGAGACGTCTAATCTCTAGGTTTATCAGACCATTTAGTTTACGAACTTCATTTGAGTTCTTCTCCTTGTACATGCTTTCTTTCATCCTTCGTAGTCGTTTTAGTTGTGAAGATGTAAGTCGATCAAAACTTACAAAGATGGTTTCGGTGGGACAACAAATATCAAAACAGAATTTAAGGTAACAAGTGATAACATCAGTAGTGTTTTCGAGTGAGTCATCTGTAAATAATTCCCAGTTAGTCGTATGAAACATGTTTTTCAGATTTAGGATATTTTCTTCTGTGTAATTCCTATATTTGACTTTTCTGGTTTTACGTAGGAGTGTACTCTTCCCATGCTTTCCATATACTTTAGGTAGAACACGAATTATACAGTGATCTGAGCTAGACAATGGAGAGGCCCATGGACTGTGAGAAGGACGAATAATACCAGTAGCTAGTAAATTGTCAAACTCACGCTTAGCAAAAGCTAATTTGTCCGGTGCCAGTCGGCGAGGTCGTGCCGTGACTGGCGGTCCGCGGGTGACTATGTGGTGTACCACACGATTGGTCACCGATGGAAGCTCCTCGAGTGGTTTAGTGATTACGGGGAATTTCTCGAATAAAGCGTGGAATTTATCGTCACGCGAATAAAAAGTGCCCAGGATTCGGTACGCGTTCATGTGGGCTTTACAGCCCATGAATTTGCTGTTCGACGAAGTATCGATTAGCTGCAGCCTACGTGAATCGACAAGCAATTCATAGTGCTGTAGAAAATCGATACCTAGTATGGCTGTGGGAACATCAGCAATGATGAACGTCCACAGATACCGTCGTCGGTTGCCCAGGTTGACCGCGAGTTGTCGTGTACCGTAGGTAGGAATGACTGAGCCATTCGCAGCGCGTAGTCGAAGCACTGTGGCTTGTGACTTGCTGCTACCTCGTGGTACGACAGAAACTTGGGCCCCAGTGTCTACTAGGAACCTAGCGTTCGTGCGGTAATCGTGCACATAGAATAGGCGACCAACCTGGGGTGAAGGGCCGGCGAGTACGGCCGCTTTTACTCGCCGGCGCTGGCGTTTCCCACCTTGTATGAGCATGGTGCTCGACAACGGCGGGCGCCGGACCCGAAGGACCTATGGAACCAGCACCAACTGTCACTCGCTTCCGTAGCCGCCTTTCGGCGTGGCCTGGAAGATGCCCTTTTTGGGCGAGTGATGACGGGTTTGCGAGAACTTGAGCGAGCTCGGGAGACGTAGGGTTGGGGTACGTTACAACGGTCTCGAAAACTAAGACGTGTGTGAATACACTCGGCCCTGTCACCATGAGCTGAGGAATGACCGGCGTCCATGTCTACTCTAGGACGTGCCGTCGAAGCAACTACATAGGTGTCTGTATTACTAGTCCTCGCCAAAATTTTGTCTGCTATGAGGGCTACCTGGTTAAGCGGTGAGTCCTCGAGCAGTGCCGTCACAGTAGGTTGGATATGAGCTGGTAGTGACTCGAGCCATAATTCCTTAACTATCTCCGAGTCAGATGCTGTTGGTCCTGCAAGAGATTGCAGGCGCGTGAGGTGATGGCTTGGTTTAGCATCACCCAAGGGGTGACGTGCTAACAGGGTCCTCAATCGTTCCTCCCTCGATGGGAGGAAATGTCGGAGAATCGCCTCCTTGAGGCGGTCATAAACATTAGGCACGTTAGAATTGAGGACGACCTCACGAACAGCTACTAAATGGTCCCCGGGTAATGATTCGAGAGCGTAGGCGTATTTTTGCCTTTGGCTCATGATGCGACGAGTCTCGAACTGAGACTCTAAGCAGCAAACCAGACCTCAGGGTCGTGGGGGATAAATGATACAGGTCGAAAATGAATGGCCTGTACGTCTGAGTCCATAACATTAATAGTATTCTTCTCGCTATCCGTCATGTCGTGTATATTATATATTAAAAATTAATATGAAAATATACGACAGACGTGGATAGATAAATAATAGACTCACCAAATTGGCTTCTTTGGAAGATTTGACCCGGGGTTGAGGCGTGTTCCAAACTTTGGGATCACCAATTGTAGCGTGGCGTCGAGTTGAGATTAACTGTGAACACCGCTACCCAGAAACACGTGCCAGATAAATCAGTCGTGTTCTCGTGATAAATGTGAGTCACTACAAACCTGTCAGTTCAATAAGTTTCTGACCACCCTTGCACTATTGAATGAACTGAAATAATGAATGGTTGTAATCATCTAAGAAACCGAAACTATATCAAATTCAGGGTTACAGTGCCATAAGTTTATTATAGAAATCAATCTTTATGTTAGGATATTATTGCGATAGTTCATAGTAAATGCTGTATTTCGTTCAGAATCATATATTTATTATACTTGTATTTAAATAGCTTTAGTTTCATCATATGAAATATTTTACTTGTGTTACTAACAGTCAAGCTATATAATATTAGCCTTATATGGAGCACTAACTGATATGTCCAGATATCGTGAAGTCATTGTTATCATAGTCTAAAACGTTTTTCCTTTAAGTGGAATAGGACTAGTCCATCGCGATGATGCACACCACTTACTGATGCATTAAAGTCTGAAATACAGAATATGCTCCATGAACTAGTTGCTCTTATAGTAGAAGTGTGACGTCCAAATCAAAAGAAGGATAAACTCTTTATCATTTTGAACATTGATCAGATGTTAATCGAGGGATTAAGTTGATATAAAAAGGTGAGCTGAGTATGAAGACATTTTCAAAAGTATTTTAGTTCCAGCTTATTTGGACATGGTTAAAGATAACTCAATCGATGTCAAATATGCACAGTTAGCGGTGATAGTGTACTTATCTTTTCAATTTATCAGGATTATTTAGTATGGAACATTTGGAATCTAGAGACTTTTTATTCACCATATGTCTTACGGGTTTACTTTATAATACGTAGAAAATGATAATGTTGCTTTACTCCATGCACTTTCTGTTGTATAGTATTTCTATTCAAAGAACTAAACATTAATTTGTTTTCAAAAACACCTGATATACGGATAGTTTGAAGCGTTTCGGATTTCCAGTTTACTTATGTTGTACTGACATTCAGATGCACTTCTGTCAAACATAAGTGAAGATATAAAAGCTCGTGTCGCTTGATCCTTTGGTTTTCATTGCGTACCACACTAAAACATAAAGGCTACGAATTCCTACTTTGGATTTTGACAAGCTTTGCAACTTATTCATCTGTTTGTCGATGTCTTTGGCCGTCAGATTTGTTCGATCCAGTCTGGCTCGTTGTTGCTGTACTACCCGATTTTCCATCAACATAGATGTTTCATATTAAATAACTAAAGACAGTTGGCAGAAGTTTCTGACAACAAAGGCTCATCAGAATCACGGAGAGAACTTATATTATTTCATGAATTTGAACCAGCACCAGCCGTTGCTTATGTCATTGACGTTGGTAACAGCAGAGTTAGTTCTCTTCAAGAATCGGATAAACCATACTGATTGTTTCAAATACATGAAATACTTAAACCCAACAGTCATTACTACTCACTCTAAAGTGCATAGTTTATCTTATTTGATCCCCTCTGCAAGTATTTAATTAGGGTTAAGACTGTTTCATGAAGAATGAGATTATTATTTGTTGTGCTTCAAATTTACTAGTAATATGTAAATTAAAAAGGATGAATGGTTTTCGTGATACACGTTACTGATTTATATGTACATCTTTAAAAATAATGGAAGAAATATCTAGGGGATAGATATTGTACAGTTTAAGTCGTAATATTTTAATAAAATATTGTCAGCATCTAAAATTGTTTCTGTTGAATTTCGAAGAAATATATTACGATCCTTTAATGAGATGAATGTTCCGTTAGAAAATGTACAGTATGCACCAAACTTTTTTGACCATGGTTTAAGTACTCTCATAATTATGGCTAAACTTAAGAGAAATAACATAAATAGAATGAATATAGTACGTGACACGATGACCTTTTCTAATTGAATCGAAAGTATCTTTTGTGAATTTGATCTAAATTCATTGGCTGGGGGATTGTAGTCATCTACCAAGCTTGCTCCTGCTTCTGTTACACCTGAAAGAGAATTACATCACAATAAATAATATCCTTGATATGTGAACTGTGTTAAATAAAGTTAAAATAATGGACCTTAAAGTAATAGAATATAATGCTTTAACTTCCTTCACACTTTTGAATGATTTTATAATTTCAATAAGAGAACATGTTGTTAATTGACTTTATCATAAATTTGTACATTTTAAGTTATGTTGATAAAGTTTAACAACGTATTTGATACACTTTCATTGAAATACATATCATGAGATGTAAGATATTTTCCTGCACTGTTTAATACTTTTTGAGGATCTTGTCATTATTACTGTTTAATATTGTAAATTATAATTATTTTTTACTCGGTGGTTGTTTCATGTTTGAAAGCTGTTATAACCTCTGCAACAGAGGTCACCATTAAAGACAAGCTATCATTTCATGAAGAATTCAACAGTATTAAAACTGCTTATGGCACCTTAGTGATACACATCACTTTGAAATGAGACTACTATTTTATAAATCTATTGTGTTTGATAATGAACGATTGTTTTATGAAGCTAACTAGTCTTTAAAATTCATGAAATATATAGTAGTTTAACCAGATTTCCAATTAGAATAAAATAATTATTAAATCTAACGCGATTCTATATATGATATCACTTTTTATGGAAAAAAATAACTTCGAGGTAAAACTTCCCCACAACCTTATTATTTTAATGTCAAGAAAATATATTTATGGGATTGTTCTTGCTGAATATGTGGCTGTGCAGGGATTGATAACCAATGAATTGGTCTTCCGCGATTGAGTGTTCGTTGACTACAATGCAACAAAATGAAAAATTGCCCGACCAAATGGTGTCAATTCATATTATCAACTAATTTGCGTATTTCATTCATTTATGTGAGAAATCTCCAAATATCCCTTCATTACAAATCACAATAGGCCAATTTCTAACAGTAAGCAATATACGTCAAACAATAATTAATAATAATCATAAGACAGTAATAATAACTGCAACAATATTTATTCGTATGTGTATTCTAGAAGAGAACAAAGGTTTCAGCACTCAGTTTTATACGCTGCTGAAAAATAAACTTACTGGATAATTCAAACACAGCAAAATGAAGTTACTGATGAACAGCATGGAAGAATTTTAAATCTCCGTTACACTGAATGTTTATTTTTGAATAAAAAGCGACACTTTCCATATATATTCAGGGATTCTTAAATAGATTATTGTAATGTAATCAACAGGTTAGTAATAGATTTATTGTTATTTTACTATTTTTAGAATGTAGTAAGTAAAGAGTTGTTATTCATTTCTACACAGAAATGGACAGTCTATGCATCATGATATTTTAAAATATTTTACACAGAACAGTTAATGTAAACTGATCAGCGTATACTGGATTTTAAAAGATTCACGATAAAACTGCTTTTAATGTCGTAAAATAGAATTCACTGCTAAATTACACAGACAAAATTTTAATAAAACCAAGAACCCTACTTTCACGAAATGAATTATCATTTTGAACATCGACTTGTTCCTCATCATTTACACATTCATCTTTAATCGATGAGGACTTGATATTTGTTGAATGTTGAACTCCTCCAGTCGATTGGTTTGTACTTCCTTCTTGCAGTTGGTCATCATCTAGTATTAATTGTTCGGTTCTTTCAATAGCCTGAATTTCGAAAAAAACAATTAGGAAATAAAAATAGATTTTGTAAATAAGTTGAAGTGAGTTATATATTGGAATACAATACAGAATGACTAGTTGAAATTACGAGATTACGGTTTGCACCAGACTGAAGGTCCTGAATTTGATTTTCAGTGGTAGATTCCTGGATACTCACTACTGAGAAGTTCTATACCAGGACGAGACAACTGTCCAGTGCTTCCAAGTTTCCAATGATGGTTTGGCTAAACTCGATCCGTGGTCTGTCATTATTTGAATTCTATAATCTACGCAAACCCCACTATACAGATTTATATAGCTCACAGCAAAGAAAGAAAAGTGTATATATGTTTTAACCAAATACAGAGGAATGTTAATTTTTTACCCAAATGAGTTTTTCGTTTGCCTGACAGAAATCTTATATCTGAAAATTCATGACATTGCAGTTCATTATCACATGACAAACAAATAAATAAACGATTCTTACTTCTAATGTCAAGACTTTTTAAAAAGTGCTGATCTATGGATGTTTCCGGAATACAGTGTTTGACTTCCATCGGTCAAATACATTTTCTTGTGATAAAACGCAAGTATATACTCAAACTCAACCTCATAACTCTTCCAGATTATAGCTGGTCATCAAGGCCTCAATTTACGGCTTTTCAATTTCGAGTGTGAAATGAACTACAGATAAGTTTCAGGATATGACAGAGGACTTTATTACAAGTGTTTGCCATCGTGACGCTGATCTATTATATAAAAAGGTCTTCAAAATAGTTAATTCCTAAAATCCTCTTTAAAAGCGTGTTTGGTTTTGTCGACAAACGTCCAGTAATACAAAGACAAAATAAAATGATTTTAAATTAATAATAGATTTACTTACCAGCTGAACCTGTTTCTCCCAATTAATGTGCTGACATGTTATAAGATAAATAACACCCTCGAAAATGGTTCCAATTGTCATACCAGCCCATAAACCTATTATTAATAGATGAATTCAGTTAAGAAAGAGTCTTAACATTTTAAGAAAGTAATTGCTTTTACACCCAATGTGCACATTTGGAGAGTTTTATATCGACATCTAACTTGGCGTATGAATAAATTACTCCTGGCTAGTTGTGCTATTTTTTTACTAGTACATAACGTGGACTATGAGATTAAGCATAAATTTCTGGAGTTCGATGAAATAAGTGGTCAAATCAACTAAGGAGTTTAATTCGTTTAAAACTCACAAGTGATACAAATGTAGTAACAGACAAATAAATCTTTGTTAAATAAAAATTACTTGAGTTGGTAAAAAATTTATTTCGTTCCACACAGTAATGGATCCAGTGAATGATATTCAGAGTCGTTGGAAGTGAGTACAATTTACATAAGTTTACTCTCTAATTATCTGCTTACTGGTTCACTTTAACACAGTGGAACGATGAGTTGTTTATGTATAACACTATGTTAGTTCCAGAAATTAAATTTGCCCATATCATTTACCCTTTCTTTCTGTGTTTACTTATGGTGACATTGACGAGACTTAAGTATTCTTTTTTAAAGGATTTTCCAAGAAACTACAACTGGTTTTTTTATCTTTCACTCATCTAGTGTTAAACGGATAGTCATTTATCCCGATTGGACTTATTATATTAGCTGACTAATCTATCGTTTTGCAAACGCAAAGACAGGATTTTAGTAAAACAATGTTAAATATTGAACAGCTTGTATGGTTTTATTTGTAAGCTGAACTACCAGTCTAACTATCTCAATTTACAAACTAAAAAGCAAAAAATACACTCAGTTACCTTCCAAACCGTAACCGCCAGCGTAAACAAGGCTAAAACTGATTGGGGAACCTATTACATATAAGCTTATAAAACAAACAATTGCACCGAACAGTTGTAGTCCAGCTCCACGAATGGCACCCCCGCAAACACCCTGCGGAATTAAATAAAGAACGAAAGTTTATCTAATAGTTATGCGTAAACTTGAGTTATTCTTAGTCCATTGACTGACTGGATTATTTGACGTCACCCACGGGCTATAAGGTTTGACTTGGTAGACTTATTTCCCTTTTGATTAGTCGAAATTGATCAATATTCAAGTACAAATGGAGACCTTTTCATTTGAAACCTTAATTTATCATTTTAAAGGACAAGTAGATCAAATCATAGATTCGCATGATATTTTATTGATATTCAAGAACCCCTTAAAACTACATTCGAACAGGTTTTCCGTGATAAAACCATTAAAATTTCATGGTTTTCATATTTTATACTTAATATCCTCGATAATACTATTTGAGGGAGATACACGGATGTTTCCTAACTTAGATGTAAATAGTATATTTACCTTTGGGTAGATAGTCTACCTTTACGTAACTTAAAAAACGTCTGATCTGCAGCTTTAACAGTTTTGTCAATAAGAATTTCAGCTAGTAATGGGATGATATAACTGATATCGCAATCTGTATTTCAGTTCATATTCAGCTACGTAGTATAGTAAATATATAGTTTATGGTACATGGGTTTATTCAAAATGAATCACAATCATACTTCACCTTATTCATTGACTGAGATCACATGATTTCGCCATTTTCTACCAATCATTTGTGATTAAGTTATTCCGAAAAAGGCTTCACTTTAAGTTGTGGACAATTTGAAATAATTAAAAACATAGATATACATATATGTATTCTCAGAAACAGTTGAGTTAGTGAAAGCTACATGTCTTTGAAGTTAGTTATTTCATATAAACACTGTAACTAAAAAGTTGTTCTATGTGGGTGGTTGTGATGGTATTTTTAGCCGATGCTTGACCGCAAATAGAAAATCTTGACAGCTTATTCACTTATCACAGAAAAACAACCAATGTTTTTAGTGTTGGTCGTTCGTGACTTATTTTCATGTTATAATGCTTTTAAAACATGAAACAACATTCAAGCATGATCCAAGACATTATTACCTGCAGGAAACAATGAGATATCTGTTTGTGAAAAGATATAAGGCTATTAATTAGTATAATTCGTTTCTTATAGCTAGCTTATGACATGTAGGCCTTTAGTCACGGCGAAAAACGGAAATTGAACATTGTTTTGTTTTTTTGTGTGTAAGGATAGTGAGTGACTAAAGTAAATCTAGAATCTAATAATAAATTGTTTTCCATTTCTTGGTTAATGGAGATCCAGCCTATAAAAGTTTGGTTTGAATATCCCTAGGCCTGATTTTTGCAATTTTAATCACTATCTCCTGAATAGTCCTTAATAATCTTGTTGCACATATTCAGTGTTTTTCATATACACTTTCTTCGGTATCACTATTTAAATTTATGCAGTGATACAGGTTTCCAGTGAAATTAATTAACATTGTAAAATTGACTATGAACACGATAAAACTTTCCTAACATTCTTTACATGCTTTTACAGTACATATTCTAACTGAAAATTAACGATTTTGAAGCAGATTTCCAAGAGCACTGTAACTTGCCTGTGATACAGGTCGTTGACTATTGAAAATTGTGAACTAAGAAGTTGTAGAAATTATGCTTTAGTCCATATGAATGTGGATATTTAACCATGTGAAATTAGTTTATAATAAACAAAAGAAATAAAGAAAATGAAACACTATATGTTTTCATTAAAATCTTACCACAGTTCCATCAAATATTTGAAATGTAGCAATCAATGGCAATAGTTTAGCAGATAGTTCAATGACATCTCTTTATTAATTAAGATGAATATAGATTAAATAATAACAAATAGATTCTTAAAGTAGAGAATGAATATAAAGCTTTAAAATAATATTTCATCATAAAAGTCCCAACTCTATCTAAATCAAATATCATAGTACTTCTATGTAGTCTGATTTCATTAGAATTCTTATAGTAATTCGACAGTAATAGATATTTCTATTTGTAGTCTACTTAATAAATGCGATATAAGGAGAGACTAAAGAAATAAGATCATTGAATTCTAATTTTTATACTATATTATTCCAGCCATTTATATTCTATTTCAGTAAAATCTAGGATATTATTTGAATCGTTAAATCTCCGCCTGGAGCCCCTCTGAGGCTACTGCCGGTCACAAGCCCGGATGAAGGAGGAGGGTTGAGCATGAGGTTATCGACCCCACCCCGTAGAAAACTAACTCGCTAAAAACGCTAACCAGGAAAAATTATTCAAACCATCTAAACTCTGCCCTGGGAGTCAGAAGGTCTTCATTTAGAAGAGTTATGACGCCTCATGGTAAAAGCCGATTTCCTTCGGAATTCACGAGGCTGACCTTCTGACAATCAGAGCAACCATTTATCTAGGTACATGGAACGCTCGTACAATGTGGGAGACTGGGAGAGTCTTCCAAATTGTTGTTGCTTCAAAGTATTTAGTACTAAGAAGCCATTGTTTGTTTTTTTTCCTAACCATACTTATCACAACGTTAGGACAAAGACTATATATTAAGTTCAATATTTAAAGAATAATTTAACTTATCGACCTAAAAATACTGTGTAAGCAAGGTTTCAAATAAAAAAAAGTTGGAATTTTTGTAAATTCAGTGCAGAAAAGCAGATTTTTATTTGTTTTGCGCTAAAATAAATAACTGTACTATAATATCGTCGTGTGAAGGTTAAGAATCTACTGATTATTACTTAGTGATTAAAATTATGAATTATGTGACGATATAAAGGAATTGAATGAGTTCAGAAATGTTTTTCATTTTGTACAGCTTAACTTAAGCTATTAAAGTTTAATATAGAGAGTAATCATATTTATATACGATTATAACGTTATATAGTAGCACTTCCCAATTCTCGTGAATTCTTTCACAATAACATGCCTTTTAGAAAACCTCTTCAGTACTATTTTTACCTAGTGATAAGCATTATAGTACAAACGTTTGTCGAAAACTATAGTTGTATTACCAATGACCAAAAGTAACTAGGACTAGATCGATATGCGATAGGTGTAAAATGTAATATGGTAGTAAATTTGACTGGCTAGCTTTGAACATTGGTTTTGAGTGAATAAAAAAAACAATAATGCATCCCTCGATAGCGTCAATTATGACTTAATTAATTATCATTGGTGCCTCTTTAACTCAAGTTGTCAACCGTTTAATAGACTATTTCTTGAATCTGTGTTTCTCATTTCCAGAACAGCTGATTTTTAAATCAAATTTTCTACTAAGCCAGAAATTAATTGTCTGTTTTGGGCCATACCTCAATTTAAAGCATATTTCTAAGTTCTACTATACTATTATAGAAATGAACGACCTACTTGAGTCTTTTAGTAGAAAAAATCAACTTACTGGTCAGAAGTGAAAATCATTGGAATTTTCCATCTCAATAAAGACAAAGCTAGAATAAAGGCAATAGAAGCTGTCCCTGAACAAATAACAGAAGAAAATGTTTATTATTAACATAGATATATTTTGCAAGTAAATTACGGATTGAAAGAACTAATAAATTATGCAGGTATTAACTCAGTTTGAAGGTAGATAATATCTGGGCAAAACAAATTACGGGAAATTTATTTTACAGTAAACACATAGAATACATTTATTTATTTTATTTATTTGAACAGATGAATATTGGTCCAAAAGGTCACCAAAAACATATGCGACACAAATGTCATTTGATTTGTATGTGGGCCGTGATACTACTCGGGTCCCCAGATCGAGACAGGTGGCTTTCTTAGAGGGTCATACCCCGAGCCTTTGACCCGAAAGTCCAATCCACAAGGCAATGGAGAAACGTTAGGAGATGCAGTCCCACGGTGGCCGGTGACCAACAATAAATTCATACGCCATTTGTTATTTCAAGATACTGGAGCTCATGTGCACGGTTGATTTAGAAGCAGGGTTTTCCAACTCCCTAGGTGGACTCTCCGTGTCCACTAACCCGGTTAAGGCGCCGGACATTCGCTTTCCATCCTCTTAATTTCGTAAACAACACTCCCGCCGCGAGAAGGTAGTGAGTAGGACTCCCCTGACAGTGGCTGTATACGCGTGGCCATGTGAAAGCATTTTGAAAGGGATAACGGACTCTCCCCACCCTCGTTCATACCAGGGCATTTGTAATTTACTCTTACTCAAGTCTTAATGAAAGCTCGAATAGTCTCAGTGCTGGATTTCGATCATTTCATCCATCATATGATATGCACCTTGAAAATAGATGTATATGAAATCATATTTTTAAAGAATGGGCTGACGTTTATCTTTCTCCTTTTACCTTTCGACTTCAGTTTTTATTATGCTATTACCATCAAAATTTCATATAATTAAATTTATTATTGAAAACACAAGTATAATGTATACATGGAGAATTAGTTTGGATGTCTCTCTATAGATTAACTTTTCAAGGTGAGCGCTCCCAACATAGCTAATTTTATGTTTTTATAACTTTATGACAATACGATGTCAGTGAAATTTATATTATAAATACAAAAACCCAGTTGGATTATTTTAATCTTATCTAGTTAACTCGTTTTAATTCAACACTTGGACAAACATCGTTAAACTACATAATTCGATTGGTAAAATTCTTTTAATTTACTGATGTTCATTGTTAAACTAAAAAAAACTATTTTTGAAAGCATACAAATTTGGTTGATTTACTGATTTTAAAACAATGAAACAAGCGCATTGGGTCATTAAAAAAAGAAATGAAAGTAGTTTAGCTAAGTCAACTTAATTCATTCTTTATTTATGGGAGCTACACTAACATGCACAAAGAATATGGATCGGTGATGAATTAACTGAAGTCCGAAGAAGACCATTTTGAAATGGTTTCTCTCCAAAGCTAATTTATAGTAGCCTAAAACTAAAATAACCAGCTGAAAATGGACCGAAGGGAATACAGAAGAAAATCTAATTCACGTAAAGTCAATACAAATAAGTCTGCAGAAATTTTGAAAAACAACATGCAAATGTCTTTTTAGAAAGATCTAATCGGAAGAACTGATAATCGCTTTCCTTAGTAGGTACATTAGTCGGGGAAGTACTAGGGATAAGGTGCAAACTTGAGATCTTCCATTTTAGATGTATCAGTTTATCGAAAGAGCTAACTCAGAGAATGTTAGGATCAAAACTTCTTCATAGCCAAAACTACAACAATTCACCACCTCATATCTGCGACATGTCCAATTCCCTATTTTTCCATGGTATATACACTCGTCCTAATCGTGTATGCTGTTACTGACAGCTATTCGCTTATTCTTCATTTTCTTTATATCCGGCAAGTAAACGACCGACTTTTACATTTGCTATACAAATTTCTATTTTTAAGCTTTAGGACTACTACACAAACATGCAAACTTTGAAAAATTTGTTATGAGTAGTAATGTATCTCTATTTTATTCTCGATTACTATTTGTAAAACTAACTATGAACATGATTGTACGGCTCTAGTAATTGAGATAATAAAAAAGAAATCGGTCATCCAATTAAACTGACCAATCACTCAAAGTCACCAATAAGGTGATTCAAACCTGAAGAGAACACTGGAATTTTGACTTCTTTGTATTGCTGAAACCTTTGAAATACATGTAGAAAAACCAGGAGTATGTATAAAGAAATTTTTGGCAACCAATTTTCTTCGATCTTTCTGACGACATTTCATTTCTAGAGGTCATCTTACCATGTCCTACGACATATATTTACAGTTACTGATTTTCGTCTAGATTCTGGGACATTCTTGAATAATTCTCAGGGTCTTGTGAACCTGATTTTCAATCCCTTAGTACAACTGATAGTTTGTTGTTTTGATTTTTCATCACTTTCTCCGTTAAGTTGTCGTTATTATAGACATAGGCATTACGGATAAATGTAAAAATAGTTTATTTTGTATTTGTGCAACTCTGAACCAGAAATCCCAAAAAAATTTCTTAACTGAACCGTTATATTGAGTTAATTGGCCGTTAGTGTAATAAGACAAAAAACCAATATCATAGAGTCTATACATTCCTTCCAATCCCCAACTAGTGAATAACAGGATCTGTTTTGATTTTTTTTGAAAATTAAATGCTATTCGTGTACGAACGTCAGCCAATCAGTATCAGACATTTAGGATTGTGGTTATTCCACCTCAGTAACGGAGTATCTCTTCTATCATGTCACTTAGTACATGTTCACAACGTCACTGACTGTTTTTGAGTCTCATGAAAAGTTTCAAAATAACAATAAAAACGATATGATATTTTGAAAAGAAAGAAGTTTCTAAGATACAGTAATGTATGTCAATACTAAAGCAGTGTGTTCACAGATTTTATCAATCCTTCTTACTTACATAATGTTACAAGAGCTGTAGAAACAACTGACCGTGGTCCGATTGAAGAGCGAGCACCAAGAAATTGACCAACACGTATGCTTGATGCTATACCGAATCCAAGTGGTAACTAGATGAAAGACAAGTACAAGAAATACGTGATATTATTACTTTATAGAGATAAGTAGTTAATTAGATCTCAGAATAACATAAGAAATTGAACGAGCCATCTCATTACATCACGAACTGACAACACCTGGACAACTAATAAAAAACAAGAATCACTGAACAAGTATTTCATCTCAACATATTTTAGTCGGTTATTTTTATCCGGAGTTCCAATTATCAATGTTTGAACTACTTAAAATATCTTTTCAAAGAGTATCCCACTATTTCACTGAGATTAGATGGAATATGGTTAATAGTGAATTACAGGATGCGCATTTCATCCCACTTGAAAATCAACAACTGAATATACCTACATCCCAGAATTCATATTCACTTCGGAACACGAACCCCATACCGTTAGCTCCAAACACCGTCAGGTTATCCACCCATTCACCAACGAATAATGATCGAATTCCAGTCAAAATATCATCAACAACAGGATCATGCAAATCATTCCAAATTGAATTGAATTTCGTCAATTGATTATAAGGTAAAAATGTTCAACCACTGTTCGTCGTTACATACAGATTATTATTATAAACAAAGTATTAGATAATTAAAATAAACACTTGAATTAATAAGATATTTGAGTAGTTTGAAGGTAGTACTGTGAGTAATTATAAGTTACCATGATGACCATTTGTTCAATTTATTTAGAGTGTAGGATCAAGGGTATTGAAAGGATGATAATATCAATGCTCATTCAAGATTAAACATAAAACGTATCAAAATGAAAACTACTATTACTGTTGACAAAGTATCAATACAGAAATCAATGAGAAGTTGATATCCAGTGACAATAGAGAGATTATTTTAAATAAGCTACTTAAAAATTGTATTTTTCTCATTCTAGAGATGATGAAGCAAACTGGTGATTATATTTCAAAGTAGTAATATTATAACTGCTTTAAACTAGTTGACAGTTGATTATTAAATGACGTAATGGTATTGATGGTGAATTATTCAGTGCTCAACAATTACCATATTTTGTACAGATATCATGGAACTGAAATAATTACACCTCCTAAGATTTAAAAAGAAGGATTAAAAGTAAAACACTAATAATCTAGTGTTTGATTACTAAACTACCGATTAAACCAATTTGTGTCGCTTAATTCAGTTGGCAACGCTACATTTCTACCTATATACTGTTTTTAAATATGTAACCAGCAAAAGGGATTCTGTCCTCGGAATTGGTTTTCCTATAAGTTGTATTGATCTTAAGGGAATTTAGACTGATAAAATATGCTAATCACAATATCAGTAGTCTGTAAGGATTGTTTGATGAATTTATCCCATTTCATCATATGGTATTGCTTTAGTTAGAGATATATTTCTACTCAAATATAACCGTTGTTGAAGGTTAGTGCAAAATTATTAAACTATGTTTTACGCTTATATGCAAAAGTTATTTTTCTAACACAGAAACAAATAAAATATATTAGAACATCTAATAAGAGACTTGAATTAACTTCTTTGATAATCCATAGGTATTATTATTGTGTAAATCAAACTGAAAGCACATTTTTTTCCTTCAGTACTAAAAGATAAGTTTGTGTAAACACAGCATTGATTGGGAAATAGTTTATTCTGATACACTTGTATGGATATCTTTGTAACTTTTGTTTTTTATTGCTTTTAGTTTTTGGCTCAATAGGTTACACGTGTAAACAGAAGATTCATTGTAATAAATCGACAGATTATTACACTAATAATTGTATGTCTACATTTAATGAAGATGATAAATGACATTTATTTAAGAATGTTCTATAAAGGATTGATGTCAGTCAGTCAGTCAGCTACAACGTAGGATCAGGCACATGTATGTATTGGTCCAGGTTGCCATACCTCATTAACACAACAAGATGAACACCAGATTTATAAAAGTAGTTAATTCAGAGGTGGTAATATATAAAAGAAAGATTGAAATAAGGATATAGTACAGGAAGAAAGAATTAGTTCGCAGAAAGAAAGACATGAAGCGATTTTAATCTCTTAGTTTAAGGGAAGACAGAGAGTGTATACACCGACGCCATTATGATCGATTCTGAGCCATGTCACACAGTCTCCAATCATTGGTTACGATAGTCACGAGGAACCCAACCAAGTAGTCTGCATCTACCAACATGGCTCAGACTAGAAGTTAGTGACTTCAAGGACTGATGCCACGTTCTGGTTTGGCCACACTCAACTTTCTTCCAACCGTCTCCAACATTAGTCAGCATTGCGTGTCGTAGTAAACGGTGTTCAGGCATACATAACACATCACCCAACCATCTAAGTCGATGGAGACTTAAAATGTCATCAACTGATTTGCCACCATCCATAATACCCTGCATCTAACCTCACTATTACTTACCCGGTGATCCCAGCAGATGCGAGCAATATTTCTAGACATCTGTAATTGATGACTTACTGACAATTAATTACTTCAGTCATACATCACAAATAGCGATATTAATTGCACAGAAAGTTTTCTCTTAGTTTGACTTTTATAAATGCATAGTAAAAACAATAAAATATCTATTTACAGCATATAACGTTAATAGACTTAAATTATTGACTAATATCAATTATGCGTAGACAATAATATACTGATAAATTACAATTCATTCCTACCAGTGTAAAGCACATTGATTCAATGTTGAAAAGAATTGTTTGGGTAGCTAATTCTCTTTCACCAAGTGTACCTGTTAAAGCAATGATTTCACAAAAAATTGGAGAATATATTTCAAACTGTTATTAAAATGGTGAATGTAAATTATTTAAACTAGAAATATTCATATGACAGCCGAAGAAACTTTTCGTTTATCACATATTGAATACAGTCAAATTGAATGTAGTTTAGTATTTGTCGAAATACTATGCATTTTAAAGAGGTAAACAACTAAAACGTGATCACCAGGAGAAAATGATATAAAAGTATATTTGAGAACACGTAAAGATACAACGTGCTTGTGAAAGACAAAAGGACTTCTTGATGCATTTCATCAAACTTGTATACCAGAAGACTCAACCAATCAGTATTTACATTTCTTGAATTTTGGAATTATCCCGAATCAGATTTAAAGGAAACAAACCACTTTTAAAGCTGACCAGTAAAATCTTTTACACGCATCGAAACTTACTACTGAAAATAAATAATCTCCGTACATATTTTCTGGAGGCAATTTAGTTTAGTAAATCATGTTATGAATATGAGAGTCGTTTACATTATTTTAAATGTGCGTTTTTGCACATAAACGTTTAACTAAAATAATTCTTAACAAAGCACTCCATTATATCATTTACAGATGATTGAGTTTGTTTGATTTTAGTAAATTTCTTTATTAGGGAATTTGGACGATTAAAAGTAGTTGAAATATGTGACCACTGAACTATATTTCAGTATCATAAATGACTTCTATTTGATTACATCGAAAAAACATGCAGTATGCATATTATCCATATCGAATTCCTTTATGTGTTTTGCAAAGCAGATTTCTAGTAAATTGTTCATCTCTCATTAATAAATTACTTGATGACCTTAATCAAGATATATAGACGGCGCGTAACATCTTGTTTAAAACTTGCCAAGACAACGACCAATTTTTAAATAAAAAAACTCTCAAAATTACACAGTGTATACCAGTAATAATTACGAAGAACCCATGGAAAAGTTAGGTTTATCGTCAAGAATAACTAACAGTTTTGTTTAAATTCCATCAAGTTGTAATGGAGTAGTTTCAGAAAGAATATACTTCTACATATTTACATTTACTTATCCATGGTTATAACATCAATTTTCAAAAATATTCTCAGTAATTCACCTGAAACTATGCTGCCCATTTCAAAAATCACCCATTCCAAGGTAATCATGAGAACACCTGGCATAGCTAATTTGAACCATCTTCCCCAGTCAAGCCATAGTTCATTTGTCCAACCTAAAATGATGTTACAAGAAAAGTTATCCATTCAAAGCTCTAGAATTTAGAAATCAAACAAAGTTGACCGGTAGAATGATACGTCAACATTTTGATTTATAAAAAACCAATATGGATTTATTCAAAAAATTGGAAACTTAGTACTGAGTTATTCATTATAGAAAATTAAATAATTATATTGTAGTAAAACAATAGTCTGAAGGACAGCAGATTTTACATTTGTAAACTAGTACAGAATAAATACTACTTAAAGACGTTAGTTTACTAGTATTTGTTTTAGCAGGGAAAAATATGTTTGTATTAGAAAATAAGTGAGGTCGATTGTATGATTGATTAAGGCTGAAGAGATAAATGCTCAAAATCCCACTTATTGATCCACTGTTCCACTGAACAAATATCCAGAAACGGAATAACTAGTTAACAAAATATACATTTTTATGTAATGAAATTGCACAGATCTAGAAATAAATATTTAACACACCATAAATGTGGTATTCAACTTTATAAAAGATCGATTGTTATTGTCATGCTCAAACTTATGAGATTAAGGCCAGAATATCAGGCTAATTTGTTGCCCACTATATCACTATCTCATTAAAATAAATATAGACACATTATTTCATAGTTGTAAATATTTAATAAGAATAGAAGAAACAAATTACCTTTCCATGTTAGTCCTGATTGCTGTAACATCAGAATATATGGTAGATAGCAAACACATTGAAATAAATAAGCTGATGATTGAGAAATAGCTGAACCTCTAATGATAGAATGAATTATAACAGTAGATATATCGATTACATTTAAAACTACTTTAGAAAATTCACATTTACACTGTTAGCATAGATTATATAAAAAATATTAAGATTTAGTGAAATGTGTTTAAGATATAACTTAGGACACTACTTATGATTTACTAATGAATATAAAAATAGTGTTGGCTTTTGTTTGAGTCTGAAATGTTAAATGTTACCATGTTGTAAGCATATTTTCTTATTTTTAAAGCACCATAATCAGTTGATCGAAACTACGATAATTTAATGAAGATCGATGTCTGCATAGTAATGTGCTATGAATGTAACTACATCAAAACTACATTGTTAAAACTGGCAATTATTTAATGAACATTGAAAACTTTGGAAATTACCGTACTAGTTACGTATAAGTGAAATTAGTGTAAGCATTCCAGTCCTATAGGAGGTCAATCTAGAGTCAAGTAGCTACATAGCAACTTTTCGATTACGATAACATGATAAAACCTTGTTTGACACTATAGAATGGCTGAAATCGTCACCATCACACGAAGCTACCACTTTGGCAGCATTGCAAGTCGTCTATGGAGAGGAGCTTAAAGATGTATTACAAGTGAAGCCGATCTCAGTCAAGACTGTTCACTCTCACCCTTTCTCCTTCTTATGAGCGTTGATTAAAATATCAAGACCTCCACACTTAAGGAAAAGCACACGATACAGTGAACACCTTAGACAGAGTTGGAGGATTTAGACTTTATAGATAAACAATCCCTACTGTTTCGTGCAAAGCAACAAATGAAGACGAAGTTGGCTACCATAACAGCGGCTCTCATAGACGTAAGCCCCAAAATACATAAAGAAAAGAACAAGATTCTAAAATACAACACAGTCAGCACCAGTCATGTTGCACATGATTGTGAAGCTCAGGAATAAGTGGAGGCATCATTGATAAACAAGGAGCATCTGGTGCAGATATGAAGGGACAAATTGGGAAAACAAGGATGGGATTCCTACGACTGGAAAACATATGGGACTCAAAACAATTGTCGACCAACATCAACGTCAGACTTTACAATATAAACGTCAAGACAGTTCTATTATACTGATCTGAAACTTGGAAATCTGAAATCTGAGATTTATGTCTTAGTTTGTGGAATATTTAAAATATCTAACTAACCAAGTAAAACCCATATAAGAAGCAATAAATAAGAAACTTTACTTAAAGTCACGGAAATATGTAACTTGATAAATTTATGAAGAACAGGTTTCCGAGACAAATTTAGTTTGACTAATATTGTAGCAACATCTTGCTAGGGTTGAAGCTATCACGAGTTCATTTAATCTGCCAACGTAAACAAAGACTCAGGAACCAAAGACCAGTAAGCTAGCTAATGATTCGTCCGAGCCCCGTTAACTAGAGGAAGAAGTCCAAGCTTGGGATGGGGGAGTATATTCTGCAAACAGCCAGAAACGAGCGATAACAACAAACACAATTCAAAACGTATATATACAGTACAAAACCGTCCTTGGGGAGAGTTACCAAATAGCATACTAAAAGACGCACCGGGCCAATAGCATTTAAGATATTTCTCAGTGGGAGATATGACATGAAGGTGACAAGAGCGCCTTCGTCGCAAAAACGAAGAAATTCCAATTTTCTAAATAAAATTACAAAATTAGGTCCTTCCCCAAGTAACTTCTGGGGATCTAACGTCCGCAACACATCTTCAGAAAGGCTTGATAAGTTCCAAGCCATTTATTTCAGAGGGATTAGCAAGGCCTTTGAGACATCAAAGCCACATCTACTTTCAAACGAATGATGCGCAATTTCCTTAACAAAAACATTCTGTCCTTTTGGTCTGTTTAAAATTTTTTAATCATTCCACAATTATTGTCTCATATCAATCTACATATACATGGAAAACTCAAATTTAGTCAAAACATATCTGACGGAAAGTATCCATATTTTCAATGTGTAATGCAATTTTTTCTAGACTTTAAGCAGTTGAAGAGAATCTGCAGAATTAGTAAGTGTATGCTATTCTGCTTCTTCTTACTCTATCACTTAATTCAATTTACCTAATAAGCTATGAAAAACCAAGGAGTACTGTAAAATCCTTTAGTCAACACTTGAAATTTATCATTCGAATATAATCCTATTTGTTCAACAAAGTTTAGATAAGACAGTTTTAAAAAAGAATGTATGAAGCTTAGGAAACTCTATGAATATCACTCGGGTAACATTTTACTACATAATTCAGTAGTTTGTCTGAAACAGATTTGATCTATAACCTTTTTGTTTCATTACTATTACATAATCATACATCAAATTTAGATGACAGTCTTCGAGTATTGAAAACGTGAAAATTACAGGACATCGTTATTTTTAAATGTAAACATACATACATTGTTATTTTGCAAAATTTTTTAAAACATTATAATAACTTACATTATTCCAATTTTGAAAACAAATAGAAGAATATAATGCAGAGATGCATTGAAACAATTTGTTAGAATCCCGATTGCCAAAGGAATATATACACGATTCTATAATTAACAGTTAATCATACATCTGAATTTAGACTAAGTTAATATTATTTTGATAAATATAATTAGATAAAAACGAAAGTAGATCTTCATATAATTGTGTAAAAATAAGAAGTGAAATTATATCTTATCTACAGTGAAAGAAAGGCTTTTTATATTGATTTCTAGTTTCTGTAACATAACTACTATAGAAGTTTACTATTTGTTATGAGTTTTGGACTGTTTCAGTGTGAATAAGGTACAAGCTATGCTGTATTGTCATTACGTAAATGATCAGCCTATGGATTTTTTTCTATTTTAAACAAGTGAAATAATTCACTGATAACTATCGGCTTTTGTATATAAATCGGTATAAATAAGATTAAGTCATTAAGTCAAATGAAATCACATTTTTAACTAGGATGATGAGTCTGTAACTGTTCATCATGAAAAACAATTGACGTCAAGAACCAATTTTAACTACGAAAACATTAGAAACTAGAGAACATGAACATTAAGTCATGTATCGAATAAAATTAAAAATATAAACCATTGGATCCTTATCCCGTATTTTGAAAATAATCAATAGAAGTCTTTGACTGCCCAATGCTGAAAACTATCTTTAATATTTTTGACAAAGTTTTTGAATTTATACGAATTATTGATTTAATCAGGATATAATTTGCTTTTTTCAACGTTCGTCAATTAGATATTTACATTTAATCAAAGTTTAACTCAGAAACTATTTAGAACTCTTTAAGGTATAAGACCTGAAAGGAACTAGTAAATTTTGAAACAGATATCAAAAGTTCATATTAACCATTGATGCATATCTGAATAATGTTCACAACACTTTGATGTGAACTGAAAAAACAAAGAAGCTATGACGAACAACGGAAGCTGTTTTTAGGAACGTTATCTCACTTAATTCAATGTTTGTAAAACACTAATATTTATTTTTGTCCCTAGTCTATTCTACAAGCCATAAGCTTTCGTTTGATGTATGATTCACTGCTATGCACTTTTTTGTTTCCAAAGTTAAACTAGTCAGCCTATCGTGTCAAGGTCTTAATCTAGACTGAGACAAGTTACCTTCTGTATATTAGTGAGTAGATAGATCAAGGAAGTAAAAACTTTATCTTGTAAAAGTTTATCATCATTGCTGATTATCACAGTGATACTGAATTGCTTATAAAAAATCAACAAATTTTGAAATGTTAATTAGATTGATATATCTTTAGAATTCCTTTTTATTAAATAAGTCGTTTCTTAACAATAACTAAGTGACTAGTTACCAAAGTTGAATCTTTTTGTATCCCAATGATATAGGCGGCCAGCTTGAATATCTAGGCTACCTATTTCTGCAATCTAGATAATTCAAAATGTTATCTGCATTTTGTTTGCTTCAACAGATCATTATGTCAATTAATTAAACTATTAATTCAGTCAGTATAAGCACACTTAGAGACATCGTGGTTACTGGCAATATACTTCGAAAAGAATACACATTATTCAGATGTCGATCCTTGAACTGCTAACATCTAATTGGCGATCACTCAATATTTATCGTCAGGATCGATCAAGAAATAAGGGACGGAAACTCGTTAAAATAGTTTTTGCCAAAATATATAATATTGAATAAAGCTAATAATAATAATGTACAAGTGAAAGTTGAACACTACTTCAAGTCTTATGTTCTTTGCCTGTCTATGATTACTGCCTGTTTACCCTTGTAAAACACATATATTATTGTAGTTGTTGTATTATTGGGAAATCTCTGAAAAGCTAATGTCGATCAGTAAGAGACAACCGGTTTTAATTTTAATCTCAACAACTGACCAAATATAACTATTTTCGTAATATACAGAATTTATCCATACTACACAAGGTTTGTGGATTTTTCAAGTGCTTATGAGATAACGTTTGATCTTTGTAAAGAAAAAAGCCTTCGAGTCTTTCTTTCATCTTTATGACGATAATAATGTCATGAAATATTCTTTTCCCTTAATTTTTCTCCGTATTTTTCAACCTGAAGATGTTTCCAGGGTCATTTTATTTAACTATTTTGATGCTCCTAGCATAGAGAAAAAATATTCATTACTATCTTCTGATCATACTCATTCTATTTCGTCTGTTTCGTATCAACTGCTTATAACCTGAAATTATTTCAGAATTATAGTTACAAAATGGATTCAATTGCTTACCTGAAAAAGTTTAGTTGGGTGTTGCTAGACTATGATCTTATGTATATGTTACAGCAATTTTCGAAATGGTATTCTACAACTGTTCTCATGATTTTGTAGTTTGCGTCAAACTCTAACTGTATTAAGACGATCATTTAAAACCAGAAAGCACTAGATATTTTTGTTGTTCTAGTAAGAGGCGTTTCAGGTATGCACATCAACTATCCCTCCGAAACTCGAACTTAATCCATTCAGACCTGGCAGTGACTGCTTAAACTTCATACAATTAAGTTAGAATACATTGGTTTACATACCTAGCTTCAGTCAGTCCCTTATGGGTTGCTACTTCGATCTCGGGAAAGCTAAACTCTGTTGATTATTGCTTTTCACTAGAACTAAGGGAATCATCTCTTGTAATCAGTCACTAATGATGATATATCTTTTGATTACTTAAAACTTGTAAACGCTTTGAAACAAACCACACTTTTTTATTTCAGTTAAAAAAATCTTAATTAAATATTACACCTCGAAGTCTTAATGGAAATCATGAATTCAACTAACGTTATTGTCGTTTTATCATAAAAGTTTTCAGAGCTGATAAAATGGATAAAGCTGAACTTTAATTTACTCAATTCTCAGTATATGAGTTGTGAAGATTATTAAGTTTTTAATTGGGATCATGAACTGATTGATGTTGGACAACCATTAAAAGCCTGGAAGCACTTGACGACCATTTCGTCCTATTGTGAAACTCCTCAGCAGTGTGCATCCACGATCACACTCGCGGGATTCGAACCCAGGGCCTTAAGTCTTGCGTGCGAACGCCTAACCTACTGGACCACTGAACCGGTATCCAATGGTGTTAATATCTAACCCAATTCTCATTGCTTATTATTTAGAAACAGTAAAAAACATCTTTGGAAAAGGAATGAAAACGGTTGTATGTTATCATTTTATGTCGACTATTTTGGGTTATTTTAACTAGTCGTTCTTAAACCTTCATACTTCACATTTAACAGAATTTCTTATATTCACTTCTAATAATGTAATCATTTAATATTATTAAAAATAAAGTTAGACTTACTTGAGTTTGAACGTATTTTGTTAAAATCTGACCTATTGCAGCAAACTTGAAGAAAGAGTCAAAAAATAAATCGATTAATTATGTAATTCATTGTTGGAATAAAGCATAGATATACATATATTTATGTTTAATTAAAACTTACATACAATCCTGGTATCATAAATAATAAATATTCAGAAGCTTTCCTGAAATATAATTAAAACAAGAAGTAAATGATAGTTACAAATACAAGCTATTTATTCTAGACAAAATAGTATTATACGTGTGTGAACAATGGAGTGGGCTTTTTTATTATCTTAATACTTGATTAATTTATGTAGATGAATAAAATTACGAGACAAATATTAAGTCGACTGCAACGAATAAATGTGTCCTTCAGATTTATTCAAAAATTTTATAAACTGAAACGTATCAGTTTTCTGATAGGTAAAATGGACTGGACACTATTGACTCAACCTCATTGAGCAGATAACTTTCCTAACTGTCCTCCCCTTCAGTTTCAGCAAATAAGTTCGTCCTATGAAATAGTGATATTTCTGGTCTTCAGGAATTTATGGTCGATAAAGTTATTCACGGTTTTTTACATTGCATACTAAATGCATTAAGACAACTTATTATACAGATATACCATACAAACTCCTTAATCATCACAGCCCTATACTGAAAACCTCCTTGTTAGATGCTGTCTCGGTTGAAAGTGGTGTATTACAAGGTAGTGTCCTAGGTCCTTTGCTCATTTTAGTTTATATAAATGTTGTTTACAATTGCTTCTCTGTGTGTATACCTATTCTATATGCAAATAAACTTAATGTGCTGCATTCATTTTCTCCTCACGAGCTGAAATCTATGCGAAATTGCATTAGCATCAGTGTCAAAAAGGTAGCCCAGTAGTACTAAAAGTGACACTTGAAACACGGTTAAATGTGGATGAATATAGTTTCGTATGCTTCACCCAACTTATAAATGGTAAGGTGTTATCCAAGTTACATACAGTAAGTCCGTCTGCTCTTCATAGAACAGGTCTCGCAACAGACCTACAAGTCTCAATATCTTCAGGGTTGCATAGTTTGTAACCTCTATATCAGAGTCACTCGTTTTAATACACAAAATTCGCATTTGACGTCTGCCAGAATAATGCACGTTTATTCTTAAGTGTCAAGATAAACAATAAACTAAGGCTGGAATCCATTCATAGACGATTTACAGGTTGCATTCTTGGGACTGATTGCACCTTAGATTATAAGTCCGGATGTAATAACCCTGGACTCAACCCTTTATGAAAGAGGAAACCTAAACTACATTTGATCGTTTTCTTCAAAATACCTAATTAACTGTCTTTTACATTCGCTGGAGCAATTCAATATGTAGAAACTACTAGTTGTGCTATCTGTAACTGTTTGTCATTGGTGAATCAATCTCATACTAAATCTTTCCAAATGAATTGCTTTACCAGTAAATTTTCCAAACTTAGGGATACTTTATCACAATCTGTCCGTGAAACAAAATCACTCTCATCCTTTGTTTACTGCATTGATGTTTACTTCTCCTCTGAAATTCCTTAAATGTGCTTATACCTGTAAGTATATCTCATTCCATAAGTGAGATAATAGGAACTTTAAATGCTTAATCGTCTTCACTATTGAGCCTACTAAATAAACCTACCTACCTGCTGTTATTTTACATTGACATCTTCCCTGTCAATACTAACGAATTTAAGTAATATCTAACACAAACATTATATCATAAAATAAACTGACTAATGCATTACTGCAGACCTGACTGACTTATCGTCGTAATTATTGTTTTTGCTGTTTCTTGCTCGCTGCTTCCATTTTATTTCCTATAGTTTCAGATAATAATCAACTCGTTATGGCTCAGGAAATGACCCTTAATGTACCGTTCATATATCAACAGAATGTTCACTTAAAAAGAATTAAAAGTTCCCCAACGATGCCGGTTATTGCTAGAATACGTATGAAAAAAGTACTACCTAAAATGTTTTTGAAGTAGAACACTTCAAAAATCTAATATTACATTGTTTTTCACATTCAGTATTACTATCTGTATCAAGCCGACCATGTCTATAAACTGACATGAACACTGTACATATTGTTTCCAGAATATATTATATTACTATTATTATTGTTAGTTATATGTTTTTATGTGAAATTAGATTAGAAAGTGTTGGGAATAAATCTGTCCAGAAGGATTCCTCTGTTGAACAAATAATTTTATTATTTTGTGTTGTTACTTAGTTGTATCAGCCGGAAAATAAATTGAGAAGCTTAAAAAAGCTGAACAGTTGTTTATCCTACTTTAAAATTATGAACACTGGTTAAGAGTCTAAAACTGAGTTTGAAATAACTGATAAATACTCATTGGTTTTCTGCAGTCCATCGGCCGATATTAGTCTATGATAAAAGATCTCTGAAATTTCCATATCTAGTGTGATGAATATACCATTCAACGTCCAGGGAAGATTTTTAAAAATGTTTATTTCACTATGCATAACAGTCTGGTCTATGTGTTCACAAGAGGCAATATCCTATCCGTTATCTAACCATGGTTTTAACAGTCCATTATTATTTTTTAGGTTGCTTTCGAACCAAATCAAATCTGTCTTCTATAAGTTATTTCCATTTTCGTCATCTCCTGACTATAAAATAACTTTGATCAACATTTGATATTTTTGTTAACTCGTGCTATCTTTTTTAAAAATGTAACAATTTTCCACTTTATTGTAGACTTCTATGTATAAAATCCTTATAAGTACAATTACACAGCTTTGGTTAGTGACAACATAGACAATAAAATATTCTTCACTGAATTATCTTTGTATTGAAACTAAACAGAACTCTATTTGTTACAAAAAAATGTACGTTTTAGTACAGTTCATAACGGTTGTACAGTTCAGTTTTTAATATATGTGTAAATTTGTTTTAGTGTATCATAGACTATTATTCATTGAAATAATGACATATGCCAGGTCATTAAACGTTCAAAACTCAATTATTTAAATAATATAACTAATGCTCAATGTATTTGGAATTTAATGGTTGCATTCATCAGTTAATTGAAACTAAACCACTATGGAAAACATGGACGTACTGGATAACCAATTCGTCCTAGTATGGAAGTCCTCAACACTGCTCATCTACGATTATCAAACCTAATTTCAGTAAAAATATTTACTAATTTAGTCTCTAGTTGTAAACTGAATTTTTATTGCTTTAAGTATGAACACTTTCATGAATTGTTTATCCTCTACTCAGGGTATTATTGTCAAATCGACAAGAGTAACCAGTGGTAAAATAGTCTATTTATATTGAATTTTGTAAAGATATAATTTTAAATCGAAATATGTATTATGGTTGAAAAATATTAGATTTATTAAAACTTACTTAGCCATTAAAGGATTTTGTTTCAATCCCAATAGTATAGGTTCAATGCATAAATACAATGACCAACAAGGCATACACATTATAAATGAGATTACAATAGCTAAATATATAATTGTTTTTCAAAAAAAAATACAAAAATTATTAATAGGATCATTAAAATAATTTTAATATATGTGTAGATAAATTTCATCAAATTTTAACGTCACCATGGGAATTATTGACTTAGTGGGTGACTGATTTTGACACTGGATACGAGATTATAAAGGTTTTATACCTCGTAGGTTGGTGGATGCATCCTGATAGTTATTCTTAAACTTGGTCAATGGGCTTGTCCATTCGCCCTGGGTTTTTACTCCTCCTAATACTGATATTAATTTGTAACGAAAAATAATCTTGGAAAATCACTTGGTGTAAAGGATTTCTGGAATTAATGATTGTTAGCAGTTATCAAGAACTTTTAAATATCAAATAGGAGTTAGACTAAATAATCGAATTTTAAACAGTAAAGCAAGATAACATAGACAAAATGAAAGGGAATTCTTTCAATACAGATTCATCTTATTGGTTCTAATACGCTTATGGTTTCAGTTGAATTTAAATACTTCGCTGATTACCTACTTGGTAACATGAATTATTAAACACTGAGTCAGTCATTTATGCATTTTCGGTGCTATTATAAGACATATGTTTCGCCTTTTGAGGCGAGTGAATAAAAGTTGAAAGACTGGATCTCTAAAATATCCTAATTCCGTCTAATATTACCATTTTTTAATTAAGAGTTCATTGCAATATTTTCATAAAATAATGTATTCAGAATTAATCAACAGCTTTGAATATGCATAAAAAATATTTGGTCACAACTTCATAAGTACTAGTCACTTTGGGAAGAAACAACAAGTTAAACCTAATATGACAGTTCTATCAACTATTTGAAAATCGATGGCGACTAATGTAATGTAGTAATGATTTATAATGAATACCACCGTAACTTACCACGTTGTAAATGAATGCCCATTAATCCTTTATTTGAACTGCCAAATATCTAAACACATGAAAATCAATCATAACGAAGATAAATTGACCAAAATATTAACATATTGAAAGACATTTGTATTTTATACTTATAGCTTTATTCTCAGTATGATCTTAGGCATACACTATGCTTATACGTGTACTATATTACCAACAGTCAATCTTATGAGCTTCATAACGTATAGGAAATTCATTGAAATTGGTCAAAAGTAGTTTAGATTATTTCTCCCATTGTTATTATGTCAATTCTACTGTCAATCATAAAACCATGGACTGGAGATAGATACAGTTTATTTAACTTAATGATAATCAAATGTTTTACGTTTTTGATTGAAATCATGGATCGAGGAATGTTGGACCATCGTTGAAGACCTGGAAGCACTGGATGGCCACTTCGTCCTAATATACGAGTCCCCAGCAGTGCTCTTCTACGGTTCCGCACATGGGATTCGGACATAGGGCCTTCGGCCTCGCGCGCGAACACTTAACTTCTCGACCACTGAGCCGGCACTCGACGGTGATAATATCTAACTTCAGCCAATCCACGAAATTGCCCAAACATCTTCCATTGGAAGCTGGTTTGTTCTCTCCGACAGTAGGCTGTTACTGATGGTATCCGGCCAATGGATTTTGAGTATCTTGCGTAGAAAACTATTTATAAATACTTGTACCTTATTGATGATGGTTGTAGTAGTTCTGCAAGTTTCATCTCCGTAGAGTAGAATTACCTGTCTTGACGTTGGTATTAAAGATCGTGACTTTGATATTTGTTGACAGTTGTTTTTAGTTCCATATGTTCTTCAATTTTAAGAATGCAGCCCTTGCTTCGTCAATTCGACTTTACGTCTGCATCTGATCCTCCGTGTTCATCGATGCTAACAACCAGAGCAACAATTTTTATAGGTACATGGAACGTCCGGACAATGTGTGAGATCGGGAAGACCAGTCAAACAGCAACGGAAATGAGGAGATACGAATTGGCAGTACTGGGAATCAGCGGAACCCATTGGACCTAAGTTGGACAACAAAGGCTAGATACGGGAGAGACGCTGCTCCACTCTGGTCACGAAGAGGAAAATGCTCCACACACTCATGGAATTGCTCTAATGCTGTCTAAAGTGGCACGAAATGCACTTGTACGATGGGAATCTCACGGATCCAGAATCATGAAAGCATCATTCAAAACAAAGAAGGAGGGAATTACAATGAATGCTATCCAGGGAATGGATTCACCATAAATTAATTCTTAGCTGAACGAATATTTCCTTATTTTTGTGTTTGTATCACAAACAAAAAGTAAACAATTTAAATCAAACAATACGGATCCATCAGTTTACATTTTGTACAGGATAAATTTAACATACAGAATTCAAAATTGTCTGAAAATATAAACTTAAGTTCATAGTAGTCACGATAAGAATTGATATCATACATCAACATAGGGATTGTCAGCTATAAAATTAAATATATAATAGTCCTATTAGTTCAGTATAACCTAAGATCAAATCTAAAACTTTTCCGTACATATTCTAATCGACTATGTATAATTGTTTGTTGGTAAATGTTTTTAATATCAAACCAGTGTATGAAGTACATATTCAAATATTTCATATAATTTATGACTATTCAATAATATTGTTAGATTATTTCAATTCTATTTAATTATTACCTACTGTAGACTATTTTGTAAACAACCAAGTCACTAGTATATAAAGATGATATTGATTTTCATTTGATAATTGGTTTTGATCATCAGTTTTAGCTTTTCCTATGTATTTTTTTGTCGGAGTTATCAACTAATGTATTAAATAAGAACGTAATTATCTTCAAGTCATTACTGTAAAATTCTTATGGGATTATATTCTTGTAATCTTTGGGATAATAAAATAAACAACAATTTATAACGAAGACTAAATTTACCTGTGAAAATGAGGTGTCAACTGCCGTTAATAGACCAGTTATGACAGCTAAGCCAGCGACATTGAATACAGAATTTGCTAAACCGACAGTGGCAAGTGCAGTTTTTTCCAAGTTGACCACAGAATATAAGACCCATAGGACCAGATAAAAAGGCTACCAAAGATGTCATAGTCTTCAATAATTAGTTAAGAAAATAATTATAAACAAATAGAATTATTTCCAGGAATATAACCCACTAGAAATATAAACATTTCAATCAGTAGTAACTGATTACCGTGAATTATAGCTTGAAACAGAAAAATCTAAATCGACTTCAAATAATTTATGAATTATCTGTGTTCTGCATTATCATGATTTGATATAGTTTCAAGCTGCAACCTGAATTTCTAACGTCTAATGCTTATTTGCATCTTGTTCAATGAATCGGTTAACGGAAATCATTCAGATCATTCAAATACATACTATAGATGATAACGACGAAAAGTCAAAATCTCTGTTTTAGATTTTGTTTTTTCCTTGGAATTAATAACCTACAATGATATTCAGTGTATTTAATATTTTCCAATGTTAATTCTGAAATCTTTCCCAAAATATGATCACTTTGATTCAAAACTATAAGTGATTAGGTTATTTTTATTGGACTGAAAATAATTATGATTATTCTAATAGTATAATTATAACAAGGATTTTTATGACAACAATAGATAACTTTTGAAATAAATGCTTTTAAGTGATGGTTGACATTTTATTACTTAACAGGATGTTCCGAAATGGATTGACTTCATTTCTATATATGTAGTGGCTATCATGAGTGCAGGTGGTCTGGCTCTTATATCGCACACGCAACATCAAATGCAGGAGAAGACGACCAGTGTAGCAGTAGCCTCAGCAGCAGTAGGTCTCAATATACACAAAGGGGAAAAGCAAGATCCCCGATACAACACAGCATGCGCCAACCCAGTCGCAATTGACGGAGAATATTTCGAAGATGTAAAAGCCTTTACATATCTGGGCAGCATCAATGATGAACAGGGTGGATCTGATGCAGATGTGAAGGCGCAGATCGGCAAAGCAAGAGCAGCATATTTACAACTGAAGAACATCTGGAACTCAAAACAACTGTCAACCAACACCAATGCTAGGATTTTCAATACAAATGTCAAGACAGTTCGACTGTATGGGGCGGAAACCTGGAGAACTACGAAAGCCATCATCCAGAAAATACAAGTGTTTATTAACAGTTGCTACGTAAAACATAGAGTCCTGAAGGCCAAAGGAGGAGAGGAAGACCAAAGAACACATTACGCCGGGAAATGGAGATAGGCATGAGAAAAATGAACAAGAATTGGATGGAACTAGAAAAGAAGGACCAGGACGGAGTGTGTTGCAGAATGCTGGTTGGCGGCCTATGCTCCATTGGGAGTAACAGGCGTAAGTAAGTAATCATGAGTGCAATTGAGTAGCACATACTTAGCTGGCTAATAACCGAAAGATTAAGGCATGATCATGTAATAACTTAGTTTATTTCTGTTTATATACCCCATTCCATTTGTTGTCTTTCACAGATATATTTAACATTTAACAATTGTGTCCACGTGATTAATAACATCTTTGTCGGTTTTTAAAACTTTTACTCTGTATCAATAATTTAGATTCAGTCAAGAACAGAAACGTTCTTAAGTTTTCAAGTATATGTACAGTTTAAATGGCATCTATTAGCTTTTGCAAAGTCATTAAATGTTCAACTGGCTTTCTTCATTATATTTCAAAGTAGGCATTATTATCATTTAAAGCAATGAGTCCCTTTGATAAATTTCGATAGTGTAATAAAAAGATGAAGATTATCAGAACTATGTGATATATTAGTGTAATACATCAATCTCATGACTTGTTTTAAAAGATTGATCTTAACTCGCTTTTGTGGTGTTATAGAAAAATGTAACAGGGCGTATACTAAGTTTTATTGAAGCCTTAGTCCTACGAAAATTCAAACCCCCTTTGTGTATTCAAAAAGTTTGTTCTCACCTTAAACCTGCCCTGGTAATGTTAACGTATTATCCAGAGTAATGAGGTTTTAAATTATTTTCACATTATTTCATTATTATCCTTGTCTCCATTTACTCTCCATTTCTAGTATGGTTGACCTTTTATTTTTATATATAAATGTTCTTAACAAGTATGTTATTTGTGATCAAATTGTTCGAAATGTATTGCGCTAATATATCACATAATTCTGATAATCTTCATATTCGAAATTATTATTTTTATCAAAAAAATGAAAAATATTTGGAGTAATACGTTTTATTAGATGAACTGCATAACCTTAATTCATGTTACTAAGCTTTTTATTTTATTAAATAAAAGAGTTTTTAAAGTGATTAGGTGTTTCGTGTAAACTATACACGTCATGGTTGATGTATTGCAGTTTCTGCTGTGTGTTTTTTCTCACACATTTCTTATTGCCATTTCGATAGTTTCTTTCATAAGTCCCAACTCTTTCTCGTCATTAAAATGGCGCGGAAATTTACATATTGTACATCTTACATCCGCTCGGTAATAAAATGAAAATTGAATTGTTTTATCTGTTTTTCGAATATTCTGTACTTTCTGAAGACAATTATCGAGCAATTAGGTTTTGAATAGCTGATAGTTTTTGTAAGTGATTGAATATCGTCATACATTTGAATATGATTTCTATTCATATTGTAGTCGGTTATTTTTATCCAGAGTTCCAATTATCAATGTTTGAACTACTTAAAATATCTTTTCAAAGAGTATCCCACTATTTCACTGAGATTAGATGGAATATGGTTAATAGTGAATTACAGGATGCGCATTTCATCCCACTTGAAAATCAACAACTGAATATACCTACATCCCAGAATTCATATTCACTTCGGAACACGAACCCCATACCGTTAGCTCCAAACACCGTCAGGTTATCCACCCATTCACCAACCAATAATGATCGAATTCCAGTCAAAATATCATCAACAACAGGATCATGCAAATCATTCAAATTGAATTGAATTTCGTCAATTGATTATAAGGTAAAAATGTTCAACCACTGTTCGTCGTTACATACAAATTATTATTATAAACAAAGTATTAGATAATTAAAAATAAACACTTGAATTAATAAGATATTTGAGTAGTTTGAAGGTAGTACTGTGAGTAATTATAAGTTACCATGATGACCATTTGTTCAATTTATTTAGAGTGTAGGATCAAGGGTATTGAAAGGATGATAATATCAATGCTCATTCAAGATTAAACATATGAAAACTAGTTTTATGTAGGACGAATAAAATCAAAGAATAAAACTCCTCATTAGATTTATTACAACTTTGTCAAGTGGCCTGTACTAAGATTCCTACAATAAAGAGTCTGATAAACATAAGTTCTCGACGTACTTAATATTCTTCAATAAATGTTTAAATATTTGTCTAATAACAAGTTTAGTTATGGAAAACTTGTTTATGTATTGCCTATGCTTATGCAATATAAAGGTAAACAAAGTAATTATATTTGTTTTTTTTTTATTTGGCACCATTTTGAACTTTTCATTGTCAATATACTTAATCCTAGATGATATTTAAGTGAAGCAAGTTTGTTAAGTACCATAAATTATATTATTTATTTTATTGAATAAGATAATAATAGTAATAAAATCAATACTATAATCATTAATAATTATGCCTTAATCAGTATAAAAAATATAACTAATTTTATTGTCATTATAATGATAAATAAGTTTATGTTCACTTTGTACATCACGCTATGTATATTCTAAACTCTTTGTTTCTTTCCAGATTCTTCTTACTAGAACATTCGAAAAGTATGTCAAAAGAAAACCACTAAGTAATGAATGTCATTTTCAATTCTGTTCTATTTTAGGTGAATGTAAACTGTTTGTTAATTAGATTTAAACAATCCATTAAAAAGGTAAGGTTTATTATAACTATATGATTTATTATGTAAATGTATTTTGAACAATCTGACAGATTATCCGATTGTAAAAATATTTATGACTGAAAAATAAAATGTCAGTTAGACCAATTTGGAAGATAGAAGAAAACAATGATCATAAAAAATATGAGGGTCATAACACACTAAATAACAAATTAATATTATTAGGATTAGGTTTAAAGTAAAACCGAACTGCTTTTGAGAATAAAAAGAGTGGATAGGTAAAGCTTTGATAAATCCTACTGAACGCCATTCATAAAATATAACATCAGGTGATTGGATATCAATCTTATGATCCTTCTCAACAAAAGGTTTCTCAATGGAGGAAGATGTTGAAAGAACTAAATGAATTTAATCAATATTTATGTGATCTGATTGTTCGAAAAAATTCGTTTTCTCATTAAATTACCAAAATCGATAAAAATTGTTCAAATAATAGTTTCAAGTAGACTAACTGTTTTAATGTTATAGAGTTACTTCATTCACGTTAAGTTTACTGTTTAATGTCATTGTTTAATTTATGTTTCGAATTATTGAATTTTTAAACGATAACAAAACTGACATTAAGTGATGGTTAATTTCAAAACGTTACATATACCTATTGATATTGTTTATATAAACAGCTCTTCAGGTATGCGATATTACTTGGCATAATATAGTTTTGTATCATCTTAAGTAAACTGTTTTATCAGAAAACTTCATGAATTAGTTTTGAACCAGAAAATGATTGAATGAATAAAATGTCTTTCATTGCTATTAAGCTTTGATAGTTAATTGTACATTTTATCCAAAATCAGATATTATCTTTGATGAATATGGTATTTCAGTACTCACTATTTAGTATATACATGGTAGTCAGTCATGAATTTTAGGAATGTTGATTTAAGCCTAATTATTCTTAAAATATATCATTAGTAGCATTGCGAAATTATATAAGAAATTAGATAAACAATACTATTAGTATAGTAAAATCGAAATAATAAAATACATAGTAGGATGAGAAAAATAACTGGATTATTGTCGTAGTAATAATTTTAGTAACATGATAATTAGACGAAATGTTTGGAGTCTGAAATACGGTCAACTATAATTATTCATTAAGTTCAGAAAGTAAAATTTTTGCATAAAATATTACTAAATGACCAAATGGATTTCCTAAAATCATTTCGTTTCTTAACGTAATTGTCATAAAATGACTTGCGAACGCTTGAAAGTATAGACTATTTTTTAGCGTCAAAATTAAGCGTCGTAGTGAGAATTTGAACAATTTTATTTATTAATATAGCGATAATATGTAGAACACCAAACAAATAGTACTATGCCAAATGTTCTTTATAGACTTCAGAATGCATTTTTGTCACTAGTATTAAAACAAACTTAGTGATTCCTAAAGGTCATGTTTGTTTATGTTCAAAGTTTATTGCATAAAGAAACATACGTTTACACAAATTCTTTGGTTTCTTTGCACTCACCAAAGAGGCTGATCAATTGCATTCCTAAACATTTATGGAAAGATTCAAGCACCTAATACAAAGTGAATTAATCTTCACCTCATTATACGAAATGATGGCTATCTGGACTCAGTAGATATGTGGATAACGCTACGACGTTTGAAGCGACTTTCAGAGTGATCATCAACTCTGAGATGCAGATACATCCAGCCGAAGAGTCCGAAATAGGACGAAACGCGCGTCCTAGACTCCAGTACTAATCGCCATCATCTCAGCTTATAACTCTCTTGAACGTTTATTTAGACTAATCAGTAACATAATCAAGTAATCTGTCAATGTTCAAACGTTTGTATATGATTTTATAGACCATTAATGCTTTGAAATTTATGAGTTTAACATTACAAGTAAACCGTTTGTAATTTTTGTCTGATTGAAGAGAGCGTCTTAAGTTTGTTGATTAAATATACCTTTCAAGTAGATTTTTCCATTTCTAGTGGTTTTTAATACAGATACCATGAAATTTATTGAGGATTCAGCATTATACCGTTAGTGTAGTGATAGAGTACCGAATAACAGGGTGAAGTGGTTGAAGAGGATTATCGCAGCTTAATGATATATTTTAGCACGTACTGACGATACCTCTTGAATTAACAAAAACCATCGAACAATTGTTCTTTGTTCATTTGATACTTCCCAAAAGTGAGCATTTATAATTCTGAGACGAGGCAACATCAGAACGTTTGTATCTCGCAGTGTCTCTTATTAAGACTTCGTGAACCCATCCCAACCAGTTAAAGCCTCACTGGTGTTACGTGCATGATGCTTTTGTAGAGTCGAAGAAAAATTACAGAAATGTCAATCTGGTTAATATATTTAACAAAGTTCATCCATCAATTAAATTCACTGTAGATTAAGAATAAAACAAAAGAATTTTGTTTGTAGATATCCTGCTTTTAAAAAGGTATGCGCACAGAAAATTTTCAAATGGTCAATGAACCTGTTTTTGCAGCAGTTCGCCATTTAAATTAACTTGGTTTGACGACATCCCTCATATGCTTGACAAAAATGGATATTCAACTGAATTCATCAATCAGCACATGAACCAAATGAAAATAAAGCTAATGTTAAAGACTTTTCAAGAAGTGACTATTCTTGAAATTACAGTACGATGCTGTTTGTAAGATATTATCACACATGTAAAGAATGACACCATAGAAGAAATTCACCGAAGCCAAAATTAATATAATATTTTACAGTAATCCAAATATCATATGACCATAAATAAAAACAGGCTACATGAATTCGACACTTTTATATGCTTATCAATTCAACTACTTTTGTGGAACCAGTCAACTGTTTACAAATATTTGCTTGGATTATTATAACCGTCTTGATTTTTCTTTTCATTACTTAGGTAAACATTCATGATCAGCTGTAAAATTCTAACGGTATTATGTGACAAAATCACTCGATTGATATCACGTTGCAATTGTGAGACAATATAATGTTGGGCCATAATGAAAAGAAAAATGGTTGCAAATAAATATTTCTTAACTCTATTTGTTTTTCAATGACTTTGTTTATCAAGATGACCAATATGCATGTTTCTATGGAATCTATCTAATTCTGTCAAGATTTATTCGTCTCCAACAGAGAAAGCTTTTATTATGAGATAAAGTCTAATCTTTGTATACAAAATCAATATTACTTCTTTGTACTTACCTTAGCCTTAACTCATTATTGCTTTTATTTCAGACAATTTTGCCCTAAATATTCCCCTTTATCTTTAATTATTTCTCATGAATTTGCCAACATCCTTCCATACATACCCGTGACACTTTTAATTGTTGATATCATGAACTAGTTATATAAGTAGCTCAGTTTATTTCAATTTATATTATTCAGTAAGAAAGATTTTCTATCTTATTAATAAACTCATTTCAATGTCAGTCTATATTGCAGTATTACAGTTATATTGTAATCGAAAACAATACAGAAGTAAGTAGCAAAAGTTGTAAACAACTGTATTGTTATGTTTTTTTCGATTATTAAAACACTTAGATGTGAACTGATGAACTATAATTGTAAACCATAAATGAATTTGGTTATTTTCAACTTGATAATAAATTCGTTAGAAAACAATTTTCTTCGCTGTTTCGTATAAAAGTGGCTAAGATGTATACAATCACTGATTGTAGCAATCGACCTAAATTGTATTAGATAGATGTTAATAAAAATTAATATTACCAATGGTAAAACGAATATTTAAAATCAGAAGGGATTTATGTGGATATTATAGTACAGTGCTTGAAATCATGAGTCGATTGAAGCTAGACCACCATGTAAAACCTGAAAGCACTAGATGACGTTCTCGCGGGAGACCGATAGGTGGTTGTACCGAATCTTGCAAGAAGGGATCATGGACGCGCACTTCTGAGGAGTCCCATAATAGGGCGAAACGGCCGTCCATTGCTTCCAGGTTTTCCATGGTGGTCTAGCTTCATTAGCTTATGATCTCAACTACTACAATATATAAAAGATAATCAGTTTTGACTTACAATTGGTATAGCCAATTGAACAAGTTTTTTAAATTCATAACAGAAACCGAATGGAAAGTATTTTCCTAGTAGACCAGTGTTAATAATTTCAGGTACTTCAATTCCTTCACAAGTAACTGTAATTTCATTATTTTGAACTAGAGAATATTAAAAATGAAATTTAAATGGATAATGCAAAGTTATTGATGATATATTTTATTGAAAGAATAAGGTTTTTTACCTGAAGTATAAAATGTATTAAATATTTGTACATTGGTTTACCTGTATATGTCTTGCTACTTTTACAGTAAAATAAAGATTTTTGATTTCTAATTTCATTTTTTTATTGGATATGATAGTTGATCACTTTTTACTTTCCTTTGTTGGACTTGGACCTGTATCAATTAGTGTTTCTATAATATTGTGGAATAAATATAATGGGATATAATGATATTAGTGTATTCATTTACTGTCATAACACTTATTGATCAATCCCATGAAGACGTTTTGAAATAATTCATTTGAGTAAACAATAAGTAGACATAACATGAAGCTGTTTGAAATCCTTGTTATGATTATTAATTAGGCATCGCGTTTAATTAAAACATTTAGCCAAGCATTTAAATTCAAATCACTAACAGTCGTATTTTTCTTTTCAACAGTCTGAATAAGAAATGAATTTCACTTCTTGTGTTTTAAACTACCAGAAAATTTGTCAAAACTTTAAGACATTTATATATCTTGACAAAAATCTGGTTTCATATCCTCTATCCATTGATTAACTGATCAAGTAGATGATATGTCTGCTGCATTAAGATTTCATTCACTTATTTTGTTTATTAATAAAGATAGAAATAAGCAAAAGAATTAACTGGTTTAAGAAATATCAATTAAGTCTAGCAAGTAATCTCATTTTCCTGAGATTGTACACATCCTGAAGATTGTTATCTAATCTTTCGTCTCAATTATGGTAAAAAGTATGTATCTAGTCATTATATAATATTGTTATGTTTGTACTATCCAATTAATTAAATTAATCCTAGAATGAAGTATAGTAAAAATAAGAAAAAAATAGAGGTAATTATATATATAGTTAAAATTATTCATCGTATATATTACTTACTTGTATTATTCACCGTTTCACTATTATCAGAATTCATGGGTACATAATCAGTGGTCACATTGAAATATTTTTTTCTTTTATTACGTTTCTTTCTAATATTTTGAAAATATTTATTCACATTAATAATGTTTCCATTGAGTTTTGTATTAATACCATTTGTCCCATTATTTACATAATAATCTTGATTCATATAGTCATTTTCTAATAAAACGCATTCTTCTGATTGGGAATGTGAATATGAAAAATACATATTGTCTAAAGGGAATTCATTCACGATTGGGTAATGACACTTGAATAAACTCTCTTTTTTTCTATTAGCATGTATACATTTGTGTATGTAGGTATGTTTATATTAGTTTATGGAAATAAATGTGTTCTTCTTTGTCCTATGATTCTTTGTCTTTGATAGTTTCTTTAGAGAGATTTATGACTGAAGTATATGTTATGGAAATTTATCTAAAATTTCTTCCTTTTAGTTTTCTTCAATGAAGTTTTCTTCCATGTCAAATAATAAATGTACTTTGTGAAGTGAAGTTTTATATTCTTTCGTAAAGTATAGTTATTTATATTAAAATAGAAATAGAAGTGTATATGCACCTTCAATAAAATTAACATCTAAAACATGTGTATTTATCTGATAATCTAATATGAATTGAATCAGTTAACATCATGACAGTCTGTAACTTGATTTTGACCTTTTTTTAAGTAAACTAAGTTTGACAATAAGTTATATATGTACAGATATTTAGTAAACATTAAAAATAATGGTGAACTTGAATGACTCTTAAAATGACCATGAGAAATTCTTGGGTTTATACGGCCAATCAGAAAACAAAATATAAATGAATGATCTATGAATAAATTGTTTTGATACTATTAGTGAACTTTTCAACAATATTTATATGTGCTACCGTCTTAAATTGATAGAACATTCAGTAGGAATCTAGACTAAGTCAATAAATTGTATAAACGTAATTAGTTTTTATGGTCTAGCTTCATTTGACTCATGATTTCAAATATTGAAATTTCTAAAATCTTCACAATAACACTTCTGATAATAATCATCTACTCACTAGTGACTGACTTCAAGAGGCATTTCCTGAAGTTCTACTGAGAAGCCCTTACCAGTGGAGTTCAACCAGGTCTCTTGTGAGATACCAGCTCACTGAGGACAATGGTATACGGTGGCGCAATTTCGTGGATTGGTTGAAGTTAGACATTAACACCGTTGGATGCCGGCCAATTCAGTGGTCTAATGGCTAAGCGCTCGCGCGCGAGACTGATAGGTCCTGGGTTCGAATCTCTCGCGAAGTGGGATCGTCCCATACTAGGACGAAACGACCGTCCAGTGCTTCCAAGTTTTCCATGGTGGTCTAGCTTCAATTGACTCATTATTTCAACTATTGAAATTTTTGTTTTACCTACTTGATATTCTATGATTAGTTAAATATCAGAATGGGTTTTGTGGAAATTTTTAGAAATTTCACTGGTTGAAATCATGAGTCCATTGAAGCTAGACCACCATGGAAAACCTGTAAGCACTGGACAGCCGTTCCGTCCTAGTATGAAACTCCTCAGCAGTGCGCATCCACGGTCCAGCACCCCGCGAGATTCGAATCCAGGACCTACTGATTCCGCTCGCGAGCACTTAACCACTAGACCACTGAGCTGACCGGCATCCAACGGTGTTAATGTCTAACTTCAACCAATCCACGAAGTTGCGCCACCGTATACCATTGTCTTCAGTGAGCTGATATCTCACAACAGACCTGTTTGAACTCCATCGGTAAGGGCTTCTCAGTAGAACTTCAGGAAATGCCTCTTGAAGTCAGTCACTAGTGAGCAGTTGATTAACCACTAATTTGATGCTTCAAAGCAAAATTATATTTATTCAGCATAGTGAACTGAATATTTGCGGTTATGAAAATTGAATTATTTGAAGAGTTGAACTCTTAGAGTAAACTGTAGTTGATAGGTGAATTGAAATTACTACAGTAAACTACACTTGCATTCATTCCTTATTAATTTTGGTGGTTTAGTGAAAAATTTGTTAGAAAATAGTCAATAGCTGAAATAGCATTCATGGAATTATGGTTTAAACCATTTTTTGGATGTTTTTATTTCTGTTTTAATCCCTTGGAAACACATACTTATCGATTCACCAAAGTTATTCTGTTTAACATTTAATAATACTGGGTGTATGTTGAACTGTTCCTTTAACTACAAAAAGTATTCACACTTGAAAATCTCACGATTTTAACATTTCACTCGGAAGGTTTAACATGAATTTTAAGAAGCAGAATATAGTGTTATTTACTCAACAATATATGATATTGAGATGGTGGAGATATTTGTAGCTCAGGTGGATGATTTTGATGGAGTTTTGTTCTCTGAGCTGGATGGTTTGGTCGTGGAGCTTTCATCGTTCTTCTGAACGACATCATCAGCACAAACTTCAGATAGACTTTTGTCTGAATATCAAAATATATGATGTACTAGTAATGATTATAATGTACAAATGACAAGTTTTCTAAACACATTTCAATTATGTTTATAACATTTCAGTAGACTAAATCTATACTATTTACATTCGTTATACAATAGTATTTATATAAAATGTCTATCATTGCTACTCTGATGAAAAACCGATTTCGGTGAACTAGAAACATTTCTAAAATCCATGTTGATTTTATAGGGATTAATATAAACATTTCATATTTCAAATGTGTAAGACTTAATGATTGTTTCATTACAAACGGTAGTTGGCTGGAAAGCAATTTGAAATGATGAAGTAGCTATCAAAACTAAAATGTGATGATGAGTATGAAATATCAAAAGCGAACATAAATACTGTTATTCTGGTCGATGTGTAATAACTTGCAAGAAACATGTGTAACTGAATTCACTCCTAGACCTAGTTTATATTCAACACTGAAGTATTCACTTATGATTTATATATTTTAACAGAAATCAAAAAATTCTGTCATTATATCCGTAATGGTAAAACAATTAACCCCTACGAAATGATACAATCTGTTTACCTGTTTTTATCTCCTTATTTGCTAATGTGTTATATTCAAATTAATTTGTCCAATTCTGACATTCATTGAGCCATGAGAACATTAAACATTCTTTTGAGCAAAAACCACATTCACACTATCAGTATCATTGTTGTGATAATGAGGTATAGCAACTTAGACCGATGCATATATGTGCCTGGTTTTACGTTGTAGCTGACTGACTGACCTATAATTAGTTTTATGTATTATAGTTGGTTGCTTTCTGCTTTTTTTCTTCAGTCATAAATTTATTCAAAATTATACAAAATACGTTTATTTTTACCTATTCCACTAATTCATACTAATCTTTCAAGTCTACTGTATCGATTAGTTAGATCGGAATAAACTAATTATTATCTATGTATGAAGTAGTGACATTGACTTTTTAAATGTACAATATATAAAGCAATATATTTATAGTAACTGAATCACTGTTGTTGTCTTTGAAACTTTAAAAGAAAGTAATATGGGGACAGTTTGAAATAAATTGAACACAAATAATCAATGTTATTTTAATGAATTATATCATTTCTTACCAAAGTGTTACGCTGTTGAGTTTGCCCTCATTGACGAATGTCAATGGTTTATGACAATCAAACTTCGGATATTGCAAAATCGAAAGGCTCTATAGTAAAACTCTTGGTGAGTGTATGCAATTCACGGGAGAATAAAGGCTGTGAGCATGAATATCTGGGCTACTTGTCTCTGCAATCTAGATAATTCAAAAAGTTATCTGCATTTTGTTTGTTTCAACAGACCACTATGTCAATTAATTAAACAATGAATTCAGTTAGTATAAAGCACACCTAGAGACATCGTGGTTACTGGCAATATACTTCGAATACACATTATTCAGATGTCGATCCTTGAACTGCTAACATCTAATTGGCGATCACTCAATATTTATCGTCAGGATCGATCAAGAAACAAGAAATGGAAACTTGTTGAAATAGTTTGTGCTAAGAATTCTATACTGTACCAAAAATATAGTATAGATTAAAGCTAATAGTAGATTAAAATTAAAAAAATAATAAATCAAGTTATCTAGTTAATCGAATGCTAAAACATTTAAGTATATGTAGATCATTATATTGATGTTGGAAAGAGATTGCACCTCAGCTAAAACATTATAATAACTGCTCATTAGAGATAATATATCCATTAATTTAACGCCATTTGTGCGACCATTTATTCATTTGTATATATATAATCTCTTGACAACTGAGCCGACATCAGACGGTATTAATGCCTAACTAACCAATCCATAATAATTATCATGTGCTCACTAGTGACTGGCTTCAAGATGTGTTTCCTAGAGTTATAATTAGTAGACATAATCAGTGGTGTCAAAACCGTGTCATGTGTGAGGCAATATTGTGCATTGTTTGAAGTGGTCGAGAGGTTCAGTATTCGCGTGCGAGACCGAAGGTCCTGGGTTCAAATCATGCGTGAGAGATCCTGGATGGGCACTGTTAAGGAGTCCCAAACTAGAGCAAAACGGACTTCCATTGATTCCAGGTTTTCAATGGTGATCTACTTTAAATCGATTCGTGAATTCATCCATTACACTACTACAAACTCCATAAACCCTCATTCTGACAATGCAATTACTTTAAATCATTTATTTTTAAAATGACAACAAGATAATTATTATATATAGGATTTAACAAAACACTGTTATCAATTTTCAACTGTATTGAAATTTCTCATTTACTACCATTTGTATTATTGGTAATAGTTAACATTTCAAGATATGAATTCTGTTAAAGAAAATTATGTGGAGTAAACATTTAAATAACAACATTAAGCTTTTCTTTTATATTCTTAAGAACATTTGATTGAGGTTACAAATAATCTGAATAATGAAGTAACATCAATATAATTGTAAAATGAATGTATAGTTTAATAGGCTAAATAAATACTATAGAAACTAATTGAATTAAGATGAACACACATTATAGAACTCATTGAATATTGAAGTTATTCATTATTATTATGAATAAACAAGAAACAATTAACAACTACGTTGACATTTTCTTATATCAGTTTGACAATTAGATTTACATTTGAATTCTTGAAAATTCCGATGACATTTCTGTTTGCAATTTTCTCCAATTTTCCAACAATCATTTATGCAATTTACCCTTGGTGGCATTACATCACTGAGAATTGATTCGGAAGTAAGCATAATTATAATTAGCATAGGAATAATCTATGAATATAAAAGAGTTTCATTAATATATATTAATAAATCAATTTACTTGAATTAACATAGCCAAGAAGAACATTTTATAAGTAAATTGTACAAATAAAAATTGATTATGAACTTGCCTTCATTTCAATTATAAAACAGTTTAAAGATGATAACGAATATACATTTATTTGAATTGTCGTAAAATATTCTCTCAACACTACTTTCCTTATGCTTTCTCCGAATTTAATTGAGTTTGCAGAAAATGCCAGGGTAATTTCCAATTTGTTAATTGTCATTCTGTTAGATAGTGAAAGATAGTCGCGAATAAGACGTGAACCTAAATTTCGGGTTCATTAGCACTTGTCAGCAGTGTGTCTGCATCGGTCATTGTCGTAGTTAGATACAATAAAAGAGGTTTTTAAACCATGACTTAGTAACTGTCATGTTAAGATATTTTTATTGATTGATCATTGAGTATTAATTAATGTCATACTAGTATTTTCCCTGATGCGACAGAATTCTGTATTTCTTTAGCACTCTAAAACATGCAGCTAAAATACGAAAACTGAATACTTTAGCACCTTTGTAGTTTGATGGTATTATGAACGTAAAAATTCCCTATGAATTTAAGGATGTTATCATCTATTCAGAAGCTTTGTTATATGATATTCTTTTGGTTTGGTTGAAATAAAGTTATTGTTTTTAAACAGTTTAATAGAAATAATAAATACAAAATACATTGTAATATATTAGATGGTACAATACACTGGCACATTTGGAATCACGAGTTAATCTAAGACTGACCACCACTGAAAGTTCGAAAGCATTAAGCGGCTGTTTCGTCCCAGTATGGGACCCCGTCGTGTACATACGCGTTTCCGAGGGCAAGACTCGAACCCGGATCTTCGGTCTCGTGTGTGATCGCTTAACCTCCAGACCACTGAGCCAACATCCAGCGGTGTCTAACTCCAATCAATCCATGATCTTGTGCAACCGCTCATTCATTTTCTGTGGTGCGTAACTGTCTCACACCAGACACATATTGGACTTCACTGGTCACGGCTTCTCACCAAAACTTCTGGAATTACACCCCTTAGCTAGTCAATAGTAGGCACATGATTGTTATCAGTATGGTGACTTGTGAAGATTGTAGTATTTTCACAGTTGTGATAAACAGTATAATAAGTTTATTAATAAATACACATATTCCTTATAGTTTAATCTAACCAGAGAGAGTAAACCACTAAACCTTTTACTAAAAGTGCTTCAAGGAAGGTATATATCGATGCTGTTAGTCATATACAAATAAACTGATTGTTTTTAAAAAGATGTAGGACAGATTTTTTAGCGATAGACCCTCAACATCGAATGAATCTTCTAGATTAACTTAAAGCGACTGTCTTTCGATTATACAGTAACGTTTTTAGAAGAAATACCATATAGTAGTTACTTCATCGCACAAATTAAATTAAAATTTAAAACCAGACAGGATTTTTAAAATTAGTATGCAACATACAAGAATGAAAGTGGATAAAAAGTTAAAAGTTTGAAATAAATATTTTAGTATACTTCACCACAAATAAGCTAATTAAGAACCAACGTTTATTTATTCTACTTAGTTATAACTGATATCGTATCCGACAGATTGCGTTTCTTCTCATCGAATTATTTGTGAACCCCAAAAGAGCATACTATTAATTCTGATGTCGAATTTTGTACTAAAAGCAAGGCGTTTTACTAGTTTGGTTTATAAGGAAACACTAGTTACAAATTTATAATGAGATTTATTAGTGTTAACCACATTGTTATATCATACATGCTAGGTGTTTGTCAAATCTATTTAAATAAAACTGTTCTACAAAATTGAATAATGTCAATGAAGTTACTTTAAGAAAACCTTTTTATTACCATGATAAATTAAACTAAAATGGAGTAACCATCCTATAGGAAATCAATTGTATTATCAAATAAAATTAACATCATGTTTTTGTTTTACAACAAGTAAATGTTATTTGGTCTCAGTTAAATCATCATCCTTTTTATTAAAATAAAAGTTACATTATGGTACTCATTTTAAATGTGCATTAATTTTTTTTTGAATGACAATCCATATAAATGACTATTCATACTACTACTCATATCTAAGAATGAGCTGAAGGCAATTAAGAGAGTTCATCTTTTAATTTACCATTGTAATTGACTTTTCATTCTAATGGAAATAATATGTCTGTTTTCTAGTTTATAAATTTTCTCTTTAACAAATATATAAATAACCATCTTTTCATATATTTATCAAATTATACTAGCATTTCGAGCTAAAGATGGGCAGTGGCTAGCAGTGGAATCCAGGACCCGCGTTTCTGTTCTATTTGGGACTCGTCAGCTGGATGTACCTGCATCTCAGAGTTGATGTTCACTCTGGATTCCACTGCTAGTCATTATTCATCTTTGCTTATAAAGCTTGTGACTCAAGAAAATATCGGGACAGTCCGCACAGGATGCACATACGTCAACAAGAGACTGCTCAATCGCAGTCCTAAATAACAATGGGAAGTTACAACAACAACAAGTAAACAACACCAATTGAATTTAATATACTATCATTCGTGGTTGAGCCTAATTTTTTTTACCATATATAACAAGACAAGGTACGAGTGAACAAATATTTTATATCATTCAAAGTACCTATCGTGAGTAATTAAGTCTCTATAAAATGAATGGTATCAATACTTTCAGTAAATCAACAATTAAACATATTCTGAAATAATTAACATACACGCTATTTGTGACCCATTTCGGGTAACTGGAATCTGCTACTAATAATCGTTTAATAAAACAGTAATTCATAAATATTTAATAAAATTACTATAGCGAAAGCAGGTCTTTATAGTATACTTCCCATTATTGCTGTTTTTTTACAAGGTTTAACTAGTAGTAATATATTATCACTTTGTTTACACGATAAGCGTCTTAATTATGAAGTAGATCCTGTAAATAAAATATTTCAAAATCTATATTTGAAAGAACCTCACTAAGTACGGTATTAAATCAAACGTGAAGCTTTCTGATATCAGTTAACTTATATCAGATTCTATTTAGTTAATATTGAAGTTACAAGAATATCAATTCTGATATAAATGGTTAGAGATAATCGACTGAATACCTTGAACCTTACTTTCGTCCTGTGTGAGATTCTACAGTGAAGCACATAGTTGTTGCTTAAAAGTTCAGTAGTACAGTTTTGGACTAATCAGCTGATGGAGCTCAAAGTCTTTAGTGGGATATCATTTAATGAGAGAATATAAAAATACCTGATACCAGTATTTTTAATAGAAATAATGTATACAGCATCAAAACGGTTACATGTGTCAATCAAAACTAAATCAATAAAGGATCATTAATTTAGACTTCTTTTGACTGAATATCAATGAACGCTACTTACACAAAATTTCTATTTTCTTCAAGTTTGATAATCTTTTTGTAAAATACTATAATTTACGCTGATAGCTCGTATAATTTTCTCAACATAAATTATCTGACAAATATTATTCATGATCCTATGTCCAGCTATCAAGTTTAATGGATTGAATCTGTTTACTAAAGTTTCATAATGTTCCTGAATTGAATATTTAAAAAAGATACGTTTCAAACTAGGATAATATTTCATGTTAACTTATTTGTAATAATACGTTATACGGTCAAAATAATTTTATTTTTCAAAAGATATTACTAACATAAGTTCGAATACCAAACTATTTTACTTTTATTTAGACAACTAAATTAGATCTTTTCAACTTCCAAATAATAAGTATGATTCATATCTCAACACACAAATTCATGACATATTTTAAGTATCCAACAGAATATTTTGTAACCTTAACTCAAATGATCGTAAACTTATACATTACATACCACGAATTTGTCAACATAATGCTCATTAAAATAATCAAGAGAAGCCAGTAACTATCCAATGATTTCCATTAATCTTCCGTTCAATTAGTAAAATGAATTCATGAAAATTTCTAACGAAAAACCAAGCTATCAGCTTAATTTTCATTTGCATAAGTCAAATTAATAGGTCAGTGTATTATCAGTTAATGACATATATTACCTGTTTTAAAAAGCTGTCATCATAAACATAATTTCAATTAAAACTTATGTGACCATCTATATGAGACAACTTTGCAGTAACAAAAAAATAAATCATTTCAATAGTATTAAAAAACTGGTTAATAAGGGATAACATTAAGGTTAATCAATCTCATGCCTCTAAACCTGTTTAGGTTTTACTATTCATATCACAAGAATCATAAAACTTGTTTATATCACAGTCAAAAAAGAAAGAATAGAAAAACTTTTATTCGATTTTGTAAATTGAAAGCTGGACATAATTCAGTTAAAGATAACCAATCATAAAGATTTTTTTCTTTTGTCCAAGAATTAAAATATTTTACCAATAAGATATGATCAAATACATATGAAAGATTATAAACATGTCAAATATTATTGTAAGTAAAAACAACCATTATTTGGGAAGTTTTTTGTGTGGCCCGTTAATTTTTGTCGTCGTTTAGATTGGATGATGCTGTCGAACTGGCTCTCCACTTTAGTGGACCGAGACATGACTCCAATTGGATCATATGAATGTTTGTTATCGCCTATTCTCATAAATAATCATCGACTTAAATCGCGTTAGTCAATAACGGAATTAAATAAGTTGAATAACGAGAATGGACTTGTGAATACATATATTTTGTATATAAAGCGAATGGAATAAAGAGAAGAGAAACGACGAGAAGTGGAGATGGAGGGTGAGCCAACTCCCCTTTAGTCAAGCGTTAATTAATATTTATAGTTACACAAAAGTAAGTTACGGACATGTGATGAGTAATGGGATAAGAAATGTACGCACACCTAAAAACAGTCAAGATTGATAAGCGAATAAATAACAAGCTTATAATGTGACTCAAGTAGAATGAATAGAATGGGCTGTCCGAAAGCCAGAATAAGGTATATGGGCTTAACATAATAACCGACACTACAAGTTTAACAATTATGAAGTATTGGATTTTACTTAACCAGTATGTACTTATACCAAATAAAAGGTATCAAAGTATATGTCAAAAACATAGACATGATGTTAGACATGACGTTAGGCGACCTGCTTGAATATTTGAGCTATTAGTTCCTGTCATTTGGGTATTTCAGCTAGTTATTTGTTTTGTTGTTTATTTTAACACATTATTCCTATTAAACGTATAACCAATATGGGAGCGTTTTTGAAACCTTTATGACATTTCGCCGTACAAGTTAGGAAAGAGCACAATTAGAGACATCATCAAAAACAATATAAATTCATCAGATGTTGATTTCTAAACTGCTAACATCTAACTGGTGACCACTCAATATTTATCATAAGAGTCGATGAAGAAATGACAAACAGAAACTTGGAAGCAATGGACGGCCGTTTCGTCCTAGTATGGAACTCCTCAGCGATGCACATCCACGATCCCACCCCCCGCGAGGTCCGAACCCACGACCTATCAGTCTC